TGAATAGGATAAACGTTCGAACTCTATGGGGAAAACCTGTTTAACTTGACCAGGTGGTCCAACACTGTAGCAATGGACAACCCAACCCTGTTAGAAATTTTGGATTTTTTTATTTAACGCGTAATGTGGGAAGGCATTTACAAAATTAGGTAACAAGAACCTTCACGTTTAATGCGACTCGAAACCAAGCGCTTCGGAGGACCGAAATTCCTGTTACTGTACTTCTGACCTGGGACCGTTCTAGTTACCCAGATTTGGTTTCAATAGACAACAGCGCTCAGGGCGCCACTAAGAGGTCTAACCCCATGCAGGTCTTCAAGGCCAAGACCTTGTTGATGTTCCTCATTGGGACCATAATGACTGGTAGTGACGAAGGTCGATCGTAAAGCAAATATAGGCGGTTTGAAAGCAAGTCCGAGATAAATGGAGGTCAATTACCCCTCACAGGGTGGGATTCCATGGATAAAGGTCTCTTCTGTGATTCTTTTCTCTTAAGCATTAATTGAATAGTTTGTAAAACATCTTGATTTCAGGAAAATACCTTCTGTAGACGTTCTGCCAGACTAAAAAACGCTTATCTCAAGGAAATAATTAGTTTACTTATTTAAAAAGGTAACGCCTTTTGAATCTCACTACAAAACTTATGCAGAGCAGTACAGCCTTCAAGAAAGATGTAATTGATGATAATCCAGAAGATGGAGAGGAATTATCCAAAGAAGCTGCTTCAGTAGTGGAGAATATTTAAGGGTCTTTTTTGTGGAAAAAACATTCTTTCCTTTTGGCAATTGGGCCAAAGCAAGGCTTCACCTACTGCTAAGAAAATCCTAAACATTTTACTTTCATGCTTTGAAAGGATTATAATTTTCCTCACTTGAAGCAAAATCCCCGAGGTTTCAGATATCTATCTACATAATTTTGACCCACCGCAAGCAGTATTTTGGTGCAATTTGTTTTTATACTTATGCAACTCTTGACTCGTGTTAGCATTTGTGAATGCTGTCTGAAGGAGCTAACAGAAAACCTTAATATTGTCAGGAAAATTTAACTACAACTGCGCTGTAGTGTAGGCCTGTACACTTATAACCTTTCTAAGCCCTAAAGTACACACAGGTCACTATTCAATCCCACCCTCCCGGGGCGCATCTATTGTGCCATAAAAGGGAGCTAAGCGTTCCATCAAAATATTCGTCTACTTCCAGCTAGTTATTGGTGACATTTATATCTATTTGGTGGGAAAACGTGGTTAAGTGCCAGGTAGACGGTAGTGCTTCAAAAAAGGGCAGTTGGACTCTGCCATCTACCAGAGAAGGGGATAAGTTCTTTGTTCCCCCCATCCCGAGTGATTTGCCATTTGAAGGATCCTATTAGTAATAAACGAAAAGGAAAATAAAAAATTCACTGAATTAATGTAGATTAAAGCAGATCACGTCTGCACCTATTAACTACTAACGTTTTAGCCCATCATCATGAAAAGGATCCTCCAATGAGGTCGAAATTAAGGCAGATTGGCGCATTAAAGGTGCAAACTTTAAGATGATGTGATATTAAACGTTCCCCCTGAAGTAAATCATTGAAGGCGATTACCAATTTGTGTACTTTCCAAAGACGGTAAAGCTACAGGTCTTGAGGATCAGTTACCCACGTTTATGCTAAACTGCAGTTATGTTGGGCTATCTTTTTTTGGAAAAAATCATGCTAATTTCAAGATGCCAGACATCAAAATAGAAAACACACCTAAACCAACGAAATGACACCACGTATTATTTACGTACCTTCCTTAGAAGCAACAGCTCCTAGAGTTTACAACTTCTCCGGATTTAATGCACAAGCTTAAGAATCAAACAAGGCAAAATCTACTGCATATTTAGACTTTAGGCACTTGGGTAATGCGGTGGGCAATTGAATGAATTCTTTGAAAACGGAGTTTTAAAGGTATGAAGGAACAAATTGACTGTTCATAGATGAATGTATGAATTAACTTGTTAGTAATGAACTCTTGAATGAATAGGGGGATAAATATATTATTGAACAAATTAGTAAATGAACCAAAATGTAGGAAATTTATTGGATAGACTGGTAATTACTAAATGTGTGGACGAGGCGAAAAGAAGCTGGATGAACGTTAAGAAACTGAATAGAAGGATTATAGGGACGAATGAACAGTGAAGGGGTGAATAGATTGGTTAGGTAAGTAGGTAAATAGAAGCACAAATTGTGAACAGATGAATGGTCTGGTGGAGAAGTACATGAATAGATAGACAAGCCAATTAATTGATGGACGAATGCATGGAGGAGTAAATGCTTGAGTTAATGAAATTTAGGAGCGAAAACTAGTTCGACTGCCTCCGTATACCCAAACGGGTGATTGGTACCTCGAACGCGTGGCATTCCCAAAGTGACTGCCCTGTTCACCCTCCTGATGCGTTACTTACTGATAAACCCGGGCTGAGTAATATCTTGCAAATTGCTAATGATGCATTCGGGGCTGACATGTGCCAGTCGGTTGCTAAGATGACGGGTGTGTGTATGTATGCATGCGCGATCGTGTGCGCACCTATTTGCTTCCTTGCCATTCACTCTCATCCATTGTATTCAAGCGTAATTGCCACCCCAACTTTTTGGTGATGATCAGAAGAAGGATCGCATCATGGTTGAGAGGAAATTACCGGCTGCAATACATCACCTAGTCAGCACTTTTTATGACCTATTACATTGTGCAAGAAATAGGGTTTGCGCTCAATCGTACCTCCTCACAGCTTTCTACAACTCCTTTCCATCACAACTGAAGTGACGCAAGGAGAAATACGGGGATGGGGCATTTGCTTGCACAAAAGTGCAATTTCCAATCGCCAAGTTAAACCGCTAATTTAGGGATGAGCCACCTCAAACACGATCCAGAATAACCTACGTAGCTACAAGATGATGAGTTGAGCCTGCTTGAACCGCAGAATTTCACTTAATGGGAGTTACTGGAAATCGAAATCTAGGCAATCAAATTGTCAAAATACTGAGGCTTTCAAAGAAGCGGAGACTGTGGCAATTGTATTTCACAAAAAGTCAACTGTAAAATAATCCTGCGAAATCATCGACCATTTGGAAGAAAGGTAGGTTTAACATGGGCAAGTACGGTGGACTTCTACAAACACAGAAGTCTATTTTCTTAGGGAGCCAGTGATAGTTTACGATACACTGACCACGAATTATGTTTTGGCTCTCTTGTCCCTATACTAGAGTAAGATAATAACCCCGGAAGGAACAACCAGATACGACGATTGTGAACTCCAGTAACGAGAAAATGAATTCGGCTGCGATACATACACAAGATAGTTCCCCATGAGGTGGCTAGTCGCACCCCGCCCACTGGCCGTAATTCGAAGGGTAAGCATGTTTAGTGTTTCGTTAGCTTTGGTATCTTGACAATCCCATTTCTTGGTAATCTTGACGTAGATAAGTGCACTATCAGTGAGTTAGGTTTTTTAAGGAATAATTTCCTTTCTACAACGGTTTGCAGGCGAAAATTGCATAATAGAGCATTTAAGTTCTGTTGACAACTTCCAACTTCTTTAGTGCAATTGGGCAAGTGTTTTCATGGGCCGTCCTGGAGTACTGTAAATCACTTGCCGCGCCAGATTTCAAGCGCCAACAGATGCCTGCTTTTCGAGATTGAAGGAAGGAGCGTCTGGGAACAGGTTCCGAGGATGCTTAAGAAATCGTGTCAATAATTTAGGTGAAGGATCTTACTCACTCCCTCACTCACCCCGCATTAAAATTGTTTATTTAACTCTCCGAGTGGAAAAACATCGTGAAGAGGTTGCAATTTTACATCGCCTTTCTCCGTCACCCACCTAAAGGGCTTCTGGCTCCCGTCTACCTCAGTGATACACTATTGACGTGCGATGGTTTAGTCATCAAAGCTCTTAAAGTCGCTGCCCTATTCCACGCATCTCCGATTTAAACTTCGACCTATTAAAGAAAGAAAGCTTTGCTAGCTACTCTATCACTCGCATGGAGAAGAGAATTCACTCCGGAAGATAAAGGATTAGGCTTGGAATTTCTACCACCTTGGTGCTGACTGGGGAAAGGAGTCGTGAACACTAGGACAAACACAAGACGAGTTGATTTACTGCTTGTGGTAAAACTTCGGCCCTGGTACTTTCGTCGATTGCCTAAAAACATAGGCGAATGAGGGAGTCATGACTCGATAGTATAATAAAGTACGCAGAAAGGTGTCAATAATCTTGTTTTTGTCCTAGAAAGACCTCAGTCGCAGACATGACTACATAATGTGCAATGTGATTTTACCTAAGAAATCAGCGTAATTTAGAGGTGAGACGCATGTTGTCCAATTTCCACTGGTGCTCCACAAAAATGCAACAGAAGAGAATCCCTGTTGTCTTTATTAGTCAGCGTAAAGACGTCAACTTTTCTGATATCACGGTGTGCGCGGATGCAGATAAGAGAAGGGGGAGCAACTATCGCACTAGCATGACCACCACCTGCGAATCAGCAGACAAAGTCCCATAAATCAGGCATCCACGACCCCTTCTTTCCACCTTCCCCTCCTAGAATGATATCGTGTTTGTGTGGGAGGTTTGTGGAAGAAAAACTTTAATCTTCCAGCAGCTGATCGTTGTGGCGACGAATGGTGAAGGCCGCGGTTGATAGGTATAGCTAGCACTTGTGCCATGTCGCCATCTATCCCCTTACGACAAAGGAAAGTGGTACCTCTGTGATGACAGCAACTGTTACAGAATTGATAAATCTACATTATTTTACAACCAATTTCCAAAACATGGGTAATGACGTGTGCAGCAGGTGTCAAACACAGCCTGGATGCCAAGAAAATTGTAGCCGAGATTGATAAGGCATTAAAGTGAATTGACATGACTCATCATGACAAAAACCGTGTAAGAATAATCACTGATATGTACCGCCTAATTTCAACTTTTACCCAGTAGAATGGGTCTCTTTAGACTTATGTTTTGGCATCGAGAAATAAAATGACCTCACACAACCTCACACGATTCTCTTTAAAAAAGAAAATAAAATCCAAAACGGACTCCTATTTGTATGATATCATTTTGAAGGAAATAAAGTAAGAGCCGTCACATACCGGAAACATATCCACCGCTGATAACTCCCAGTAGGGTGAGGAGGAGGGTGTAGATTTGTAGCATAATGAATCGATAAATCGATATAGCCCCCGCGAGGCCCTCAAGCTGAGCTTAGTTCGACCGGTGAATTAATTTTGGCCATCCATTAATAGGCCGTTGTGGCCGCGTGCTTATCGGTGGTGTGCGCAGTGCGCGACGACCGTGCAGGCCAGGCAATCGGACCAATCCGCTTGCAATGGATGTGACATCAAGTTCTCATTGGCTGATGTACATTCGAATTTGATTGAATGAGTCGACCAAGGAGAGCACAGGCGTGGTATTGGAGGGAATGTCAATTTGCCGAAGGAATCAGCTAACTTTTTTGGGGTCTTTGATGAAAGTGTTCATCTGTCACTCTATTACCCATGAAGAGGTTTTGAGGAGTGCCTAACTGGAGTCACGTATTTCTTTTAAAATAATGGGAATGTCCATTAAGGTGTTCATTTTCCTTTTTTGGTAGAAAGATTTTCCTTGCTTGATTTACTAATCCTTGAGGAAAATCGGTAAAGAGGTTTTTTGTCCTCCGTTTAAAATTTGCAAAACGCCAAAAACGTTTATTACAATGCTCCGTGTAAGGTGGCTTCACACAGCCGTCATTCGATGAGATTTCTGCATTTGTTGGATGTTATGGTTCTTTAATTAGGAGCTTTGACTTGTTTAATTTCGTCATACACTGTTGCTTGTCCCTATGCAGAACTTGAAGTGGTGATAAATACTGATTTTGTGACTCTTCTGCTTCTTTTGTAACGTTTTTATGTGCTACCCTGCCGAATAATTCCAACTTAAGTCTATGAAATGTCTGTGAAACACTCCACATTGTCCTTCTTGTTTGAAATGCGTCAAACATGTCTCACTGCCCTACTACCCTTGTAATGCCTCACCAACTTCTGAAAGGGGCGAGAGGCTAGTAGCTTGGATAGCATTAGGCCAAATAAACTTGACCCCATGAACTTGAATCCACCACGCTTTTCTGCACATGATTGAAGTAAAATATGGCAAAAGTACCTTCGGTTTTTCCATTGTGACACCAAATAATTCCAATTTAACTCATTCCCTCCTAATTAGTGTCAAGGATGGGCGACATGTGGGTTCAGGCGCGGAACTAGGAGCATCACATAACTGACACACGCTGCTTAAACGATCCACATTTAAATTGACTAAAATTAGACACAATTAAAGACTGGATTTTTATGTCGAGAATGCGGTAACTCATGTAAATCTACACCTTTTATGACTTTCGGAGAAACATTGTGGTGATTTAATGAGGTTTAGGCTGCACAACTTTAAGGTATGCAGTTTGTGCAGTAGTAAACAATGATGGCTCCATTTCAATGCCGGTTTTCTGTCATCTGCTTGAATCCCGTTGCATTCCCGCGTAAAATTTCTAATCGCATTAGAACGAAGACTTTAAGTATCAACTGGACTACCAGGACCAGACACAATGAGTAGACACATCAATTATTGCTTGGTTTATATAGTGCAAATTCAGGTCTCGATTTTCACCAATTTAAATACGCCAGGTCTGTTTTGACAAACAGCCAGACAGAGTAGGAAACCCTCAATTTAGGCGCTTAAATAATGGGTTATCTTCACCCAATTCAAATGAATAGTTTGTAGGATGGAGGCGATTTGCATATTCTGGGAAAAGTACATTTAAAAAGCTCTGTCAAATCAAAGCCAGTTGACAGGGAAATACTGTAAAAAATGGAGTTTATGCAAATGGCAAAAGTTTGTTTAACTGTTGCGCCCTGAGGCTTCCATGAAGATGAAGGGAAAGATACTACTCGAGTAGGATGTGTTGCCAAAGGACCGAAAAGCTCAGAAGACTGCTGGCATGGACCGCAGACCAGGATGCTAGGTGGAGGCACGACGGCGGGATCTTAAGTGGTCTATTGCCAAAACCGAGGGTTAAATAAACAACTAACATATTACATAATTATTTGCCATGTTTTGAGCTATCGTCAGAAGTCAACCGGCATTCGGGATTTTGTCTCCCTTAAATGTGACATTTCGGAACAATTAATTCAAAAGTTTTAGTGACTTGTAAAATAATGCAGTTTGCACTAGTTAAGCCAATCCTTTATTTTAAAAAGTCAGGAAGATTGACTTGGATTTAGATGTTCTTCTAGACCTAAAACCAATAAAATGTTACATCCTCTCTAATCACTTGCCTATTTATAGCCTGACCCCGACTCCTTGAACTTTTGATGATTTCGCAGGACATAATTGACGTTCAAACCTCAATTAAATGGTAATTTCGCTATTTACTCCCAACGATAGTGACAGTGACAAATTCTACTTATCCAAATCTATTGTTCTCTGTAAAAAAAGAAAGAGCAAGAAGAATAGGAAACAAGAAAGTAATTGGGAACAATGGCGGCTTGTTGAATATGAATATAAATTATCAGGCAAAAGAATACACTAATTTTGCCCTTACAAGCATTAGGAGAAGCGTTTTTTGTGTGAGTCACATCACTCGTAATGCAGAAATTGGGATTGGATTGGATGAGCATGGGGCGGAATCGGACCGGACGGGAGGAGGGCAACAGGAGCAGTGTCCCGTGTTTCACGTCTCACGGTTTCTCCACAGCCCATCAGGGCCTCTGAAGAGGTCTATACCTCTTCCTTCCCGATGTAAACAATTGGGAAAATAAACAATGCAGAGAAGAGCGTTTTTTACAATCCACTCCACCCAAGTGTGCCGTCAAATGCCTGTCACTTCCTTTCAAATGGGACAAGAAGTAGAAATTCCACATTTTTTATTTACTTCAAACCGATTAAATTACCATAGAAACGATTCAGTTTTGGCAGAAAACTATTTTATTTGCCGTTATAGTTGACAGGTGATAGTCTTAGAGGCTCCTCTTACTCTAGGACCCTAGTTACCGCCTCTAAACCTTCAGGGATTGTGCATATGAAAGTAGCCGTAAGAAAATGGCATAAAATTATTGTTGCGGTTAAATTAAGTAGAATCAAACGGACCCACGTAGTCGAAACAGATGCCGTTTTGCTGTCTAGCACCCGGCATGTCTCGAATAGTTGCTTCAATTTCTCCTGTAATTACTCTTTAGCCTAGAGAAGCAAAAGAGCATCTAGGAAAGTTGGAGGATTTACTGTCACATCGAGAGGGTACGAATCTAATTTTTTTGGTTGTGCGGATATAGATGTATTTCCAACGAGAGAACCCTAGTTAAGTATTAACGTATGTAGAAACATTTTCCGTGGTAAATGTAATTTGCATAGCAGTCAATTCTTTAGAAAAGTTTGCAAAAAAGTAAAATTACTCCAAAAACGAGCGATTCGTTGTTTTTCTTTACCACTTATTCCCCACTTAGATGCAATCCACTTATTTTATCTTTTGTTTGATTTGCGGGGATATTTGTGTTTTCTTGACGCAGTCATTTTGAATCCGTCTAAGGAAAGCTTCTCACTGGTACTGATTATAAAGTAAGACCTCAAAAGTAGTTGTTTGTCAAATAGAGTCGTGTTTCTGGTGTGAACTCTCAAATACATCCATTTGAGGCCAATTTCTTTTCCCTATGACATTTAAACACTTTCAATCAGTCTTCTAGTTCTTCCATGAAATAAGTAAAAGCGCTCCTCTTTTTCTCAAGAGGTAGTGGTCATAAATCAGCTGAAGCTGTAGTACCTCGATTCATCCCTGAAGGCATGGCAAACTATGGCACCGTGCGGTACTACTGTACAGAAGAGATGGAAGGCTACCGAGCAGAAGTGCAAACTGCGGGGATTGGAGTGCCAGCGTGATCCAACATACCGCTAAACAAAACATCGAAACACTACATAGACGATCTTTGATACGCGTCGTCTCCGGTGTTCCCCATGATCAATTTCGCAACGTTGTCTATGGTTTAAAACCACTTACAAACTAGCGATTCCAGTCATTAGAAAAATCGGCTCTATAAGTAGAGACATTTGACAAAAGACAAGCCTAAAAATATTTTCCGGGGCTTACACATTAATCCCATTCCTCTTTGCCACTTTATTCTCACTTCAGCGCTGCTCAGTCATCTACCTACCTGGATTCTATTCATCTATAACTGACGTGGAGGAAGTAGCGCTTGTTCACGTAATTACCATCTTCGCATGGATACCGTGGACACCCTCGTAATAGACTATTCCAAATGGTTCAAGTCTGGTGTCGCTTCATTTATTAATAGTCTACGTAAAGAATACGAAATCGGAGTAAATGTTAAGGATAAAAGTCATTTTTAAATCTTCTCCCAGAAGTCTTCACAGATTTATCCATCCATCGCAGACGCCCTTCTCTTCTTTTGTATTCGACCGTCGAAGTCGGGATAGTTGCCCTTTTTGATGAGGTTCGTTCGCTACTACACCACTGTAATGCACCAAGCATAATAAACCAAGGAGATATAAAAGGACGTATATCACCAGCCTTCAGAAAGGCTAGGAGGCCGCTTGGTTGGCCAGAAGGCCATGCAACAGAGAGGAAGGCGAACCTGTGAAGACTGAAGTGCCCGTGTATTTTAACGCAGAACTGAGTACAATATTAAATCATTTCATTAGTGGTATCCCCGAGTGAGTACCAGAGTTACCTCTGAGACCGTCATAAGGCATACAGAAGGACTGGCAGACGAAATGCACAAGCTGAGCATTATAGCACTATCGTGGAGGTCGAGTGACGGGAGATTGAAAGAGACAGCTTAGCCACGTATGCAGTTCACGTAAAGGTCGCTCCGATATGCCATTAATTTCATTTTCATAGGAATAGCCTTTAACTAACCAGATGAAAAAAAGCAACTTTTTCCCGAGTTTATCTTTTCTTATCAACTGAAATCTTACGTGGCTATAATATTTCGTCTAGCTGGGGAGTCTTCCTGTGAGTCGCGGTAATTGCGTCTTCGCATCACTATGACTGACTTTTCAGGAATCTGACCTTTTGTAATGCTAGGCAAGAAAGGTTTTCTGTTATGGCTGGGAAATCTATTTGTCGCCAATCGCCTGTTTTGCAGGATAAAATATGGTTTTTTATAGGTGGTCCGTTTGCTATAATAGGACTGCCAACGTCCCACCGATTGCTACTGCATTGGTTGATTCGCCGCAAACAAAGAAGAGGTGATAAAAATTTCATATTTTTATTGTATTTTAATAAAGATATAATAAGGTAATATAAAAGTAATTTCCCAACTGAGTGAAATTTTACCACATTCATTAGACAACATTTTCAACCCTAGATGATGGAAAGTTTGGCGGGTCACAAATAAACCGCAATTTAAAAACAGGTTTCGTAAATTGCAAACTTTTAGAGACTTTAATAAACTTCCTTAAAAAATAACATCGATGCGTATAAATTGCATTTAAAGTTCACTTCACGATGACAAATTTTGACAAGCACATTGCGTGGCTCGCATTAAACTTTGGCAGAGAGGAATTTTACCAGTGGAAGGTTGCTTTTGACTTTCAGCTTCGGCTGTCTTCCTCCATATCTGTTCTTCTCTGTTGATTAGAAAAAAGTGGCAAACGTCCGCACATCTGTTTCGCAGTCACCTTTGGTGCAAACCCATTTACATAAATGGCTTAAATTCTGTGGTGTTTCGAAGGCGCGCCTTTTTTGCATGCTGGTTTGTGCGCAGCTTGACTTTGTCATGTCTCCCTAAAGTGAATTTTAATCGCACTCTCTTTATAGGTCCTGTTTTTGAAAGAAAATGTGACCATCTTTATGATGCTTTATGCGTGTGAAAACTTTTTGGGAACCGTTATTACTCAATGTCACCTCGACTACTGCCTATTTTTGTCGATCCACATGTGAATTTTACTTATAGATGTCTTTTTTAAGAAAGAGGTAAGTATATGACAATTTAATCTGCTATCTCCATCAACACGTAATCAAAACACTCTGTCCAAGCCTATGGTCACTCCTCCTCCTTTCGAAACGGCGCATCTTCAGCGGTAAATCAGGCTACTGCATAGATAGCAATGGTCAAGGAATTGTGAAAAAAAGCACAAATCCTTATTTTGTTTACAGAACTCCAAACAAATGCATCACAGAAACACATTTATTACAAAAATCGAGTTAAACAACGCCGTATTCAGCAATGTGGTCAATATTGGAACAAGAATGGATTCCATTAAGTTCTTTCCGAGAACAGTGGTTTATATCTTCACTGCTTTTGGGATGCTTTGCGAACCAGAAGTGACTGACACGAGGAATATTTAGGTTGTGTAGCTGCAACCAGCTAACAGCACTGTTTCTCAAACAAAACCTTTTCGATACCATCCACCCTTTAAAGAGTGGAGTAGTCAAGATTTGGTATTTACTTGACAAAATAAATCACGGCTGATGAAAGAGGTAACATATTTGTTCCCGTCTCGAGGCCGGTGACAGTTAACAGGCAGATTGAAGACAAGTGAAGCCGGTGAGTGTCCCTGAGGAGTACCATGGAAAGCAGTCAGAAGCCGAGGAACTGTGTTTTAAGACCACATTAATCGGGATGGCACATTTAAGTGCGCCAGCTCTTCAGACTACTGTAGCTCTACAATTAATGTGGTGGCAAAAGGTATCCGCTTCTGTTATGATAGCCAACGGGAGAGGGCACATAAACCCAACTTCATTGAAGCGTCTCATTGTCTTCGATAAGTTCACAATTTTATCTCCTCTGTGAAATGGACGATTAGGGTTAACTGCCAGTGTGATTTCCACGACAATGCCCATTCGTAGGAAAAAATTCATCCTAAAGCAGAGCTATTCATTAAAATACACGATACATGGTGATCATTCTCCTTTTAACAACTGAAAACATGACATGCCTATTAGCTCAATTTTTCACCTTGTATCTCTTCAAACATTTATGATCCTACCACAGAACGTAAGATTAGGGCAATCGACATGAGTAAACGTGGCTTCTGTTGGGGGGTTTTTACTAATTAAGCCATCCACGAAATGCATTTTCATCAGCTAAAGCTTGGGCACGATATGCAAGCAATAAAATTAGGAATTTCGTCAAGTTGATTAGGGTTTCCATGCTACTGACATCTGTATAGATGACTTTGAATGATGCAGAAGCCTGGGTAGAATCTTATCACAAATACAGGGACGGATTGACAGCTTACTATCGTAAATGGTACAAAGGGAGCGTCGTGAAACGTTGATTGCGACCGATATCTGAGAGAAACAAAATGTTGGGTAAAAAAGGACATCTCCTTAGGCAAAAATCATTCTGTTGGACCATATTGAAGCCAAATTTTGCTCCCAAAACGACAGCCCCAACTTGACTGACATGTTGTTAATAGCAATAGTCAAAAGTTTCACGTTGGTGACGAGAGAAGAAAGGTAGTAGGCACGGACCACTTCCTAGCGTCTTTAACTCTCCACTGTCTAGATGACTTGGTAATGACATCCTGCTACTGAACAAAAAGAGGGTGTTTCAGTAGGTTGGTGCCTTCACAATTGCTGTTTCCGAGTAGCAGGATTAGTTCTTAACATCCATAGGTATTCTTATTTAGACTTGGTGTATTTTAGGGTCAAAACATCTTGAAATGGACGCATCGAGAACATGTTTCTGTGCCGTCAGTTATAATCAGACCCTTTATTCACCTTCCACCCCACATTCCCAAGATCGGGTCCAATTTGCTTTCACAAGACATCACGATTTGTGTGTGCATGTACGTGTCTGTTGGATTGTGGGTACAAATGTACATTAATAAATTGTCAGGTTGCTGAAATTCAGTTAATTACAGTTACGATCTACCAACTCGATGCAACATGATAAAACTCGAACGAACAAAATGGAATGCTTTCTTCTCAGAAACAGTCGGGACTAGTGAATCAGTCAAAAGAAATTCCTCTTTTTATTCTCACAAGTTGAGACAAGACTTCTTGCCGCCTACATTGCATCGCATGTCTTGTACTGCTTACTCCATGCTGCTTACGGCATGCTACATCTTAATCAGGATAGGAAAGGGAAAGGAAGATGCCACCTGACCCCTATCATTATTCTCAGCCCATCCACATCCTCACCCACCGTATTCCCCTGATGCAATTCTTCCTGGTGATGAAAGCCTTACTTTTTTCTTATGAGCATCAGACAATCACTCATGATGACATGGGATGGAAGCAGAACAGACAGTGACATAAGGATTGAAGACCGGGCAGAGTTAAACGTAGCTAGAGACGAAATATTTTACAAAAGTAGGAACTGATGTAAAAATGTGGCTTATTAAGGACCAATTATTTATTTGTTAACTCAATTGCTGTGTTTAGAAACGTTTCGAAAGGCTGGAAGGTTCGTATTATCGGCATTACACCATCGAAGTTAAAGGCATTCGAGGCGGCCTGGATAAATTTATGCTGTCTGTGACCTAATCTGCTTCACTTCTCCCCCTTAAATTTTTTTAAACTTAGACTATTCTTGGTTGTTTAGTGACAGCTTAAAGACTCTGGTATGCCAAACTTCTGTCCGATTGTCAAATTGTCAAAAGATTGGGATCTCATGTCAGCAACTACCTCCACTACTCATCTCAAACCATCTCATTCCCTGTCCAGCTCTTCCAATAGATTTACATTGCCAAGCATGGCTCTAATTTCCTTTTTCTTCCTAGAACACTGAGACAACAATTGCGAAATGTCTATTGAACTTCGGGGAAACTAATCTTGCGGATTATTACAAGTTAGTTGCATTGGAAACGCATTCTCAAACAGTTGTCATTCATTTGATTAGGCACTAAATACAGTGTTTCCGTTGTTGGATCCCTTTTGCATTTGCATTAGATATTTACTTCCTCTAAAAATTTATCAGGTGAGTCTAAGACATCACCAATGGACGTGGTGACAAATCAGCGAAATCTCTCGCTGGCGGACCCAATACTCCGACATCAAGTAGCCGAACAAGCCGAAAACAATTTTTCATATTTAAAAGAAACTGAGCAGAAGCAATCCCAAAGTCTGCACCAACGGGTCACTTTGAAATCTCAACCTCTCCGATCCCTCTGGTTGAGGGAGTTACCAGAGCGCATTGACGTGACATCATACCTCAATCGTGGAACACGGCAGGAATCGTTGGGGCAATCTTTCAATATTCGGTAACTCCACATTTCGCAGGTTATCTAAACAGCAATTTTTTTGCAATAAGGCGGGGAATTTTTTCTGGAAAAAAATATCATAGACCAGAACAATGGTAATTTATGACGAGAATATTGGCTATACTATCCATAATCATTAAATGCACGATCAGCAACATATGGCTCCTATTATTTAAGTCATAGGGCACATAAAAATGCTGTTATTGAGGGGTTTATTGGTTATCTCTAGTTTTCTTTGATGGAATCAAAAGATGATGTCGTTACAATCGCTTAGTATGTTAGTTTAATGACACATTCTCTACTAGCTCCACATAAATGTGGTGTTCCCGACCTTCCTCCTTGAGGCCGGAGTTACACATCTGTGACACTATGAAAGTTGTTTGTATCTCTTTGTGAGACAAAGAGAATGGTTGAAGTAAAATGTCCTTAGACAATGGATACACTGCACTTTCTATGATTAAAATACCTGAGCTGTGGTGGTCGACCTTCCCTCCAAACCGTGGTAAGGACCAGATTGAATTCTTTGGAAACGAACAAGGTAATGTTTTCTCCTTTTATGTGAGAGCAAAGGGGGTTGCTTTTCATTATTCCCACACTCCCACCTATTTCGATCCTCCCCGCTTACTAAACCCTTGATTGACATTTGCGTGGTCCTCACGTCCAAAATGCCTGCATTTTTTCCTCTATTTTTTGTTCACCATGTAAAGCAGAAAGTGTCGACAAGGCAAGCTACATGTCAACTGTTATCCACCTCCCCTCCCGTCTTCTTCCTCTACCTAAATTAGTCATAAATGCTATTGTGGTCCAAAAAAGCCGTGTATGAGTAGAGGGGATAGACGTTAGATGCCTGTGACACCAATGTTGACTAACGCTTGTCGGAATATTGACAGGCGGTAGCTGGCTTTATCTGTGGGACACCTAACTTGCCCAACCTCCAGTCTGTTGGGGATACATTAAAACAAGACTTTTTGCAACGCCTATTTAACTACGTGGGCTCTTTTGCTTTCATAAGCTCTACCACCGCCCTGGCGGCATGGCCTCCGGCCCAAGTGTGTTTCCTCCCGTCTTTCTGGCCGCCACTCTGTTATGCTAACATGGCGTATTATGGTGGGTGACTCAGGGCGATAGTGTTTTTAGGTGTTGAATACAAAAATTTGTCCAATTTTTTTGGAAATTATGGTCGCTTTTGTTCCGTGAATCATCTTCTTGTAAAGTATCAATCACTTGTTCTTTTAAATCGACAACTATGTTGTAAGGTCATTTTCCCCATTCTATCGTTCGTTAAGGCAGACCATAAGTTTGTCGCCTTTATTACATCCATGATCTTAGGTGGGAAACGATTGGAACGTATCATGAACTTCAGTAACAAAAGGATCCGAACATTCATAGTTGATCGCCGCAAATCTCAACAATCAGGTTCTGGTAGAAGGATATTTCAAATAGAGCATATACCAAACAAAGTAGGCGCTCCATGCCGTAGAGTTGATGAAAATACATGTAACTAACGTCCATGGAATTTTTGGTGCCCATCGATGGTAGTAGCATCATCATCAATCCCCCGTGAAGCGCTCCGTGATTCTCAACTGCTCATCTTTTGGCGCACCAGCATTCGCATTCCCACGATTGCGTTGCTTGCAAATGTCCGCCATAAAATACACTGGGATAAATGCGTGTCATACTGCATTAGCCTGAGCCGTACACCAGCTCTAAAAAATGTCCTGTGCATGTATATTCCTGAGGTAGGAACTCTATATCCCCACTACGACGTGGCTGCGCTGTGAGGTCATGACCTCAGTAGCGTGTCACACCGTGACACGAAATTTATGACACAAAGCATACTTTCGCCTGAGAGGGAGAGGGGAGGAGAGATGGTCTGTGCTTCAAGGTTGCTCATATCATTAGGCGATAGAAACTTGCATCATAAAGTTTTCAAAACACCACATGAAGTTCATTCATACCGACGCTTAACCGTTTCGCATGATTTATTGTAAACTTAATTCTGTCAGTCTATGCCTTGACGATTGTTCTCGATGGCAGAACATAGACTAACACTTTTAGTGGAAGGTGGTTAAGAGCAACGGCATGATTGCAGTGAAGACCCATGAAATGGGGCAATGCTTTCCGAGGTGTAACACTGAAAGGTGTGATAAGATCCTAACCATTCATTTTCCCTAAACTCTTCCAATGCCTTTACGTACTTTAGATTACCTTCAACAACCCAAGTGCTGACTTGAAATTTTGTGGCTGTTGAGCTTCTTGGCAAAATTAGTCATACATCCTATCACATCAAGCTTCGTTTCATTGGCAACAATGAATGGAGTGTCTTTGTAGGCTTTCTGCGGATATACTGTGGGCATACCATTTGCTTCTCTTGTATACCTCTCCATCAGATCTAATTTCCCTTCAAAAGGCGTCATTCTCCTACTCCCTCTCCTCCATTAAACAAGCATTTTCGTTTACCTCCAGTAAAAACTTCTCTTCCCTTTATGGTGCTGTTGATGTTTAGAGAAACAAAAAAACCTGGTATTGCTTTCCTCTTCGCCTTTTTTCCTGCCTGAAGCAGAAATCGGCATTTTAACCCACATTTCCTCCCATATGCCCAACAACAACGAGGAATTGTATAAAATTGCAGAAGCAAAAGCTGCTGACTAAGCTTCATGCGCACCCATTACCTTGTCTTCTGATTTAGGTGCTTGTAAAATTCACACATTAAAGGATGGAGAGGACTCATGTGTCATTTGGTCACGGAAACATCCTAAAAAGTCGCCGATTTTTTCATCATGTGTGAGCAAGACCACAAGCACGGGCCTGACGTGTGAGTCAGAAGCTTTTTTACCGCCGGAAGAAACCCTCAATGACAGCTCTAGCGCTTAAGGCCTAGGACTACGTCGCTTTTGAAGAAAATATAAAACTATTTCATAACAATAAACGGATTAATTGAGCAGGTAATATGGGTGCAAAAGTCCTCACATTACAAGTGGACCTCATTTAAAGGGCAGATCACTAGCTCTTTATTACTTTTTAGTATAAAACAGGATACTTCTCCTCGTTCACTTGAGTAAACAATTCTTTTGGTAGCTGGACGCAGCTGCAAGGACATAAACACTCAAACGGTTAACCTGCCTTTTATAGATCCTGGGTCAGTGCATTGGAAGGCTAGATGTAAAAAAAGGTGGTAGTTATTTTTAAATTTTTACTTAAAACTCACAAAGTTAGGCGTTAATAAGTATTAGCTTGGAACTAGAAGAAGTTTCACGTGCAACCAATACATTGTCTAAACGTCAGTCCCTTTTCTAAGAGGGAAGAATTTGATGCCTGGATTATTCATTTGGGAAGTTTCGATACAAGTTAGACCTCAGTGAAGGCTCACTTTGTGACAGGGTGATTTGTAGGTTCAGTGGTTTCTGCAAATGCGTAAATGATTCGCTCAAATGACTGACTGCTTACTGTAATATATGTTTGTTTGAAGTTGCCTTTTAGTGATTAGCGGTCATTATAAACGAATCTCGTTACCGAAGGAACTCTGCTGATCCTTATGGGGAAAACCATCTCCAAGCTCATATCTCCTCGATTCCCTGTGCGCCTTTAGGAGACCTACTTGTTAAAAGATGTTCTCCAACCAATCTACTCCTTCCATGAATGTGAAGGCAGAGCCAGAAAAAAAAAATACTGGACCTATTGCATCATTAACTTTTTTGGTTAAAGACACTTCGTTGGAGTCTCATTTAAGTTTTTTTTTTTGAATTTGAAGTTTCACTTGTCTAAATTTTAACGGATTGAAATGAAAAGAGACCATTCCTTAACGCCTGAAGATGTAATTATACGATCAAACACAAATCAAAAATACTTCTTTAGCAATTAAATTTGGTCGGTCTATTACTTTTTGCAGAAATAAAGCATTTCATTTAAATTGTTTGTGAAGTTTTAGCTGCTATTTTGCACCCCAACATTTGACGTGAGCAGTAAATATCGTTTTCGGGCGAAATATAGTTGGAAAAATGGCCGATTTTTCGTGTTCGCATAGAAGTACCGCTGTATAATCAAGTGGACGCATCTCCAGAGCGTAAAAATAATTTATGCATATTTTTTTTCTTTTGCATTAGTAGACTGATTTAAGTGTATGAGGTGAATCACTAGGCAAGACATCTCACTATCAGTAGACGCTTCGGTGGGAGTAGCGGAGCTTGGTTGTCAGGGTATTAAATAGTTTGTCAGATTTTTTGCTATTGTGTATCACCTTAAGACTGCCCTGGAGACGAAAAGCAACAGTCGAGGGCAGAATATGCGTTGTCGATATACGGAAGGGCTTGAGGCTATCGGTGCGGTCTACAGGTTAGGCTGCCAGACTGAACGTACAGCGGCATGGCTCTGAGTGATTCGTAACCAAAATTTGGAGTTGAACAGTGTATCACAGTGGTTTACTGAAATGACTTCATACAATTTGTAGAGATTCTTCAAATCCATGCAGTTACTTAAACGCGTGTGGTATGAAGCGTAGATGCGCACCAGTCTGTTAGAACGGCTTCCTTTGCTGGGCTCAGTGCTATTTCCGGCGTACTTTGTGTTCGCACACAGATAGGTAGAACCTTGCCCTTATTTTTGTGTTCACGAAGAAGTTTACTCAAGACCTGGCAAATACGGCTAAGATCTACCTACTCTATGCAACAAGGTACAACTCAAACACGCGGAATGAAATATTTTCTTTTCAGAATCAGTCAAATGAACTTCCTCTTTTTATTCTCACAAGTTGAAACACGACTTCATGTCACACATCACATACCGTGTGCTATACTGCTTACTCCATGCCATTTTCCGCATGCCACATCTTAAATAGGGCAGGAGCAGAGGAGAAAAATACCACCTCTGATGATATTCCTCCAAGTGGTAACAATCACGCTTTCTTGGCATGAGAGTTAACGAATCTCTTGATGACATGCGAAGGAGGCAGAATAAGGCGGTTGGGTAGAAGTAAAGCCGAGACCGAGTGTGAAGTAGCTAAAGACAAACCATTGCACAGAGCTAAGAAAGCGCCAGCAAATCTGCGTCTCCGATGATTGTGGCACAAATAATTTCAAATAGTCAGATATTTGGGGTTTTTGTAGTTATTTCCTTTGAATTGTAATGAAACACACCTTTTCCATTTAAGTATTTAAAAGCTCTTGCTGACAATCACTTTGGTAAATTTTATCCCCTAAATTCATCTACTGCAGGCTTAATTTGACTAATCATGTAGGTAAACCCCTTGAAGCCATAAAACTAGATGTGTGGGAATGGATAGGTGATATAAAATTGGTTCAACTGATGGCAGCTTCCAGTTGACACGCAGCCGTTTCGTGGTCCGAACACGGTGCAGTTTCTAGTAAGGGAAATTCTGGTAAACAAAGACAGTACGCACAGCTCTTTTGTCAAAAGATTGAAACAGTGTGGCCAAAGAATGATTTACAGAAATTCTAACTTTTTTCTGGCGTCTCTTTATCTTATTAGCATTTGTACTAACTAGTATCAATAAGGTGATGGTCCTGTTGCGAAAAATACGCCCTTGCTCGACTTTTTAGAAATTCCAGGCGTTGTCAAATTTCCGAACATCCCAGAGGGTAGCGATCTCGCTTACTCCCACCTGATTGGCTCATATTTGACAATGAGGTACCCTGATTTCACTGATAACCACTAGAAGGTCAAGGCAAGGTCAATCAGTTACTATAAGTAAACGTGACTGGGATCACCGACTCAGACATATCCACACTCAGGCACTCTCTGTTCCGTAGCCACAGGGAATGTAGCTACATATGCATGCTTACTACGCTAGGTAATGGAAATATCTGCACCAAGGTTCTTATTTATCGCTAATCCGTTTGGGGCCCTGATAGGATCCAGGAGACCCGCACACACTTACTGGACAGTACAGTTTAAAATAGTTATGGACGCACTAAACGCCCAGCTTACAACAAGTCTTTCAAAGCTCCGCTTTATCCCCAAACATTTCTTGTTCAATTCATCCTCCACTGGGAAAAGCTTGTATAAAGTTTAAGGGAGTATGTTAAAAATTTGGTCCACTTCTTTGTCATTTTAAAGTGTAGCCAGATAGGCCACATAAAGTGGCCATTGTAAATGGGCTCTAAATAGATTCGTCAGAAATTTTATTATCCATTGTACTTTAAAGAAAATTATGATTTTCTTTCTACCTAAGAAGGAAATTTCTTTTATTGAAAATGGCAACAGTTTTATCTAGAGACAAAGATCTCGAAGTGGAAAAAAAGCTAGTTCCACTGCTTGCTGTTAGGGCCCGTATTCAGTTAAAGATAAGTAACAATTTATAAGAAATTTTAAGTCTTTCTGCTTAAGCACAATGTTAACACGAGCTCTTTGACCAACGCGATGCTATGGTGCTCTGTCCGCCTATGCGTTTGTAATGTCATCCTATTCAAATTCAAGCTTGTCACTAAGTCCTCTCCAAGGAACCCTCCCGGTTGCGAAGTCTTTTGCAGCAATATAGAGGAGTTTTTCCTCCACTTTTTGAGAGGTTAAGTGGTGAAGGAATGCATGGAAACCTATGCTACACATTTAAGTGCAGAAAAAAGAAGTAAAGTAGAAAATTTAAATAGTTTTTTACAAATCCATTTACCTCTTTTGACTTTCGGGTAGTTTAAAAGAGGGCTCTTTAAAGTGGACGTGCTTCTTGCAACAGCCGCTCAAACCCAGCTTTCTACAAGCTACCAAAATAAACCCATAGAATTTTTAGCGTGGCTCACTGCAGTGACTTCTTTGTCCCTTTTAGAGTCTCATACGATGCATGTGATTGGCGATATACGTCCATTATGGAGTGTGGGTAGATACGCATCAGTCTATCAGTAGGGTATTGTGCTCTCAACCGTCTCCCTCTTATCGTGAGCGAACTCTCATACCATAAAATGGCAGTTATTCTATTCTGGTGTGATATAAGTCCTTTTAATTTTTTTTAGAAATAGTTTAACTCAATCCCAAACCTGTGGCTGCAGAAGCATCTGTGGATATCTTTAGAGCATTTAAGATGTTTGATTCTCGAGGAGAGTAAATCAAAGGCCGATGTCTCACACCTAGGAATACCCACCTCATCTTTTTCAAGTGTAGACCTACTACATGTTGCTACTGGTAAAACGTCTGAGAATAAACTTTTCACGAAAGTAGGTGATGAAACGATTCGTGTAGGGCTAAATTAATGGTAACACTTTTTTGCTTAGAAAGTGGGTTAGAACCTTTGAGCAAATTAATCTTGACTCCGATTTTGAAACAAAAGTCTTCTTTATTTTGACCACCAACGAGGTTCTCGTTCATTAGATAAAATGTATTGATTTTAAGCGTGTTGACTTCCCCCCGCCCCTTCACAGGCGACAGCCCCGGCGACGCGTGAATCGATCAATAATGTTGCGGTGGATGAGCGCTGATCGCCGGCCTGCAATCAAGTGGGAATCCATACCATTGTGTGCATCGATCAATTTTAACGACTGCAGATTGATTGCAACAAATTTTTACTTTTTTAACCAAAAGCTAAATTATGCGCATGTTGCGTCGTCCGGTTTTTCGTTGTAAAGCAAATATGTCTGTTTGCATAATTTTTTGTTCTCTAGGCCTCAGAAGTTATTCGGACAGAAAAAAATAGCAGTTATTTTATCAGTTTCTAAAATGGTTTTCCCGGTATTTAAGGTCTTTGTGTGGACTCAGTTGCTTCAGGCTTACAGAGAGACAGAAAAACTACGGATTTAAGTGACGTGCAAAGGAGACTAAAATGGTTCCGCATAAAATCATGTCTAATTTTGGAGATTTATTATTCACGAATATGATGCATTTCTCTGTTTTGAGTACCATCCTTGCCGCTCCGAGAGATCGCTCTTTTGCGTGTGCAATCACAGTAGGATTTGAGTGAGGGTCTAGAATACTTGGGTGCGATTAACCAGTCGCGTTCTCTGCCAGTAAAACACCTTGAAAATTATTACTTTAGAAGGTATTCCAAACGGCGAATGACATTAAACAGCAAGCGCGTTTTCAAAGCTAAATCACTTTTTTGCAGGAATACCTGCACGAAATCGAAATCTCATTTAATAAATTCAATTTCCATCCCAGTTGCATTCCTCCTTTCCACTGCGTTTCTGCTGCAACGCCGCCTCCTAACCGTCTTTTGCCCTATTCTTACCTTCGTATACTACACAAATACCGAAAATTTAAGTTTCTTTCAACGTTCATTACCTTTTTTTAGTTATATTACAGACACTGTTTTATCGCAGACTGTCTTGATTACTTTTCTTGGTCTGCTGTTATACCTTCAGACCAAATACTTCGCCTTTACAATGTTCTCCTTCCAGCAACCATCTGATCCATTTTAAGGTAAATCTTTTTTAAATAATTAGTAAAACTGGTTGCATTACTTTTGGGGAGTAAAGGATGTCAGATAGGTCCAATCGGTGTTATCAATTTGATGTTCTAGTTACTCCTCAAAGCATTTGTCATGTTCTCAGACTACTAATGCATGGGAAAATTATAAGAGGAACTGGTATGAATAGGCACGCTACCACGGTGGCAATACATGCGGCGGTAATTAAAAAGTACGGCCTGTTAATAATGGCCGATGGATATGTCTTTGCTCAACACGCCATTAATCATAATGGCAGGCAACAGTGGACCAGTGTGTAATGACAAACGAGCACGAAATGCTTGAGCTTCCGGATGTCAATTCATCTACACGGAAGACTTCAGGCATAGAATGGCACGGTGATGAGAAACTCAACCGCTCAGCAGTAAAAACTTTAGAAAGTGTAAATTGTTCGAAAGCAGCCAATTATCTGTCAGTAATGATTCCAACCACGACTACTCCATTTCCAGCTCCTGACTTCGGCAATCATTTATGAGAACATTCGGGACACACCACAACACGCCTGTCTCAAAGCCGCACAAGATACTTGTCTTGCAGTGAGAATAACAGGCGCCCACTTTAATTCCGAAGAGTTGGCGAACATGGTGTATCAAGACGGATAGGCTGTTCTAAGTTTGTCCCGCCGATCTCTCATCCTTCTTTGTCAATATGTTTTCACTTCGGGATGAGGACTAAGATTGTAGATGGAGAATTTGTACAGCTCTTTCCTAAACCCAGAAGTCCAGGTTTAACTCGTAAACTGGTTATAGTTTTAATATAAATACACAGAATATTTAAGATACTAGTACCCGAGACTTCACGAGTAAAAGATCATACCTCTGGTAGGAGGCAAAAGTGCGAGAGTATGTGAAGGATTGGATTATACATTATCAAATCAGTCCAAATTCTATCGCATTGGTTTCATTCCAAATGCGCGCTAACACTCGCCGGGTCGTTTAAACACGACCACATACGAAACAGAAGTCTTCGGCTAAAATTTGACCACCACAGACCTTGATGGATATGTTCAACTTTCTCTCAACAGCAAGAAAAATATTATAAACAGACTCAACTAATCTGTTTGCGACAAGGCTTGCTATCTCATGTCACACATATGCAAACCTGATTGCAGGGAAGTTAAACTTAGGGTTAATTAGGAAAATGTTGTTATTCGACAATCATTTAACCTTTATAAGTCTCAAAACTTGTGCGAAAGAAAAAAGTAATAAACGAATATCTCTTTTTCTGGGAAAGTGGGAAAACGCATTTGAGGGGTAACATTCCTGTTACAAACCTTTTCCGCCACCCATTCCAATAACCAGGCAAAATAAGTTAATTAACGAGAACAATCTTACCAGCGCTGCAAAAGGTGGCTTTTGCTTTTGTACTAAACTGATGAATTATTGGTCGCGTAACGTGATGATTCACAAAAGGCGAGGTCTATTAAGCGCCCACAACGTGGTGCTTAGCTTACCTACCAGGGCAAAAAATCCACGTCCTTTTAGGGATTATTTCTAAGACAGAGGGAGCGGGTCTAAATAAACAGCATGAAATATAGGCTGTTTAAATATCTTGTGCTAATAATATGCTACCTAATCCTGTCAGTAGTATGGAGACGGCTTCATGTAAAGCCTGGGTTGTTGATCGCTTCCTCCCCAGCCCTTCTGTGCTGCTGACGCAAAAAAAGGCTGGGGAGGCAGGTCATTTCTCCCGACTCTGGGCGCTACAAATGTGACTACACAAATCCGCCACCTTGGCGTGAAGCGTATTGGCGCTGTTGTCGGGGTGGAAGCTGAGAGCTCCAGCCTATCGATTAGGTTTCAGTGGGTGAAAGCTAATCGGCAATTGATTATCGATTAGAATGCCTTACCAATGACTATACAGAGTGCAAATTCCCTACGAGTCTTGTCAACTCATTGGCACTCGACCTTGCATACAATACTTTAGCAGAAGCAGTAAGTAGGAATGATTTCAGGGCAAAAATGAATCAGGTTGGATAAAGAGATTAATCCATTATGCTACTCTTTTTGTCTCCTTTGGTGCTTAGAGATGCGTCGGCCTTTCCTTTCTTAATAATGACTGCCTTTTTACTCCGTTCTGGCACTGATTAATGAAGGGTGATTCCGAACATAACGTGGATTTATGACCTACCAAAAGCCCTTGCAAACTGTCACCATAGAACGAGTGTATGAAAGTGGCTGGAATATGCTTACCATGCTCTGTTCTTTTTCAGGTTTTGGCACGGTTTCGCCATGAGTAACATCGTTTATCAAGGCATGGGTTGCAGTTTCATTTACATTAGAAAGAGTAAAAAAATGATTTGCAGCTCAATTTTTATCAGACACGGTTTTGGGATGACCTTTGAGGAGTTTAAAAACTGTAAGCGGCAAAGTATTCCCTGATGACTTTACCATGCACGCAAGTTTGGTTGACTTGGATCAATTTTGATTTGTGACTGATTAAGGGGATTTGCCTGAAGTAGCTAATATAAAGCAGTTTTTGAATATTTTTGTATCAATTTCATTATTCTCCTCGCATTTTGAGTCGTTCAATTCACATGCCATTCTGTAACCGCTTGATTAGGATCTTAAAAATAATTAATTTACCAGATGGCTACCCTCTTTCGTTCCGATCTTTCTCTTGTGCATTTTTGCAAATTCAACCATCCGAAGCAGGTTCCTTCCTTCTGTGGTATTTCAGTATGATGACCATTCACAACTCACTCAAATGCAATAGGCGACATGCTTGTTTGAAGGTATCTTTTAAAGGAGAGGCGGTTGGTGAATGCGAACCTCCCGAAGGAGCGGATGCCATCGGCCTCCAAGGAAGAAACGTTTCCTAAACACGCCTAACCGCAATGCTTCTGCACCTCTTTCATTACCACTGCCCCATAAATCATGTCCTGGTCCAATTCTTTCACTCGTTCCAAGCTTATGAAGGCTGAGGTGGAAGAGAGAAATATCGAGCCTATTACAGTAAGTTTCGTTATGAGTATCGATGTTATCTACAATATTCTTCAAAATGGGCGAAAGTTATTAAACACATCCTACATTGCTGATAGCACAGATGATAGGAGGGGAGCTCTGCGCCACAAGCATTGGAGACCGGAAGAGTCGGGATAGCAACATGTTCAAGTGAGGGAAAGGTCATTACGCTCTGGACATTTATTCGGCCTTTTAATTTTGGAGGCTATTTTGTCAACTTCGTGCAGTGATAAATGTCTAAAGTTAATACTTTTGGATTAAGTTTGGGAGTACATGGGGACTCAAGAAGGTTCAATGGCAGACCATTTAGCAGGTGGGTATATAAACATTATGTATCAAGAAATAGATTCTGAGAATCTCAAGTGTTTCCTTTGATTTGGATTGCCATTTTATCTCCTTATGGAAGTTCAAAACTGACTAAACTTATCGTAGGTTAAGTTTTCGTTTCCTCATACTGCCCAGCCGGTGAGGCAAACTTATGCATTTTCTTCTCCGCTGAACGCTTCTTCCAAAGTTAGTTGAAAAAGGGGAGAGAAGGGGGAGAGTCAGTGATTTTGGAGAACTTGCAGAAATGTCAAAAGTGTACTGTCCAAGGACCAATGGCTTTTGAAAATAAATGAAAAGAATGTGGAAACTTTCGGTAATAAGGAGGATCTCGTAAATACGCCTCGTCATAGGTTTATTGGCGGAAATAATGTTTTTGAAGACTGGTTGGGAAAATTCCTGATGTCATATTTCACCAGTGAATGTACGATATCTCAGGAAACGTGATACAGTAGTTCAAAATTTTTGAAAGGTCAGGAAAACACTTTGAGGATTCTAATCAGTTACTCTTCACATCTTGGCTTTGAAGCTGTCGCTCAGTAAATCTTAGTAAATTGGACCACATCGAGACCTATTTAACCCCTTTAGTTTAAGTTAACAATTTACGAACAATATTCTTACTCAAAATTTACAATCTTTACTGTACGTAGCGTAGGTATTTTCCATATTATCGAATCTACTTAGCATATTTGAAACAGACGTCGCATATGTGTGACGTCCAAGTTTCCTAACTTTATTCTTATGTCACGAATATGTAGTAAGTAATATTTATTGGTTGCAAAAAATACTTGCAAAAAACAAGCATATAGTGAATTAGTAGCGACTCAAACAATAAAATGCATGTAGAATATACTTAGTCTGGGTTGATAGTAAATTAATTGAACTCGTCAGTTCCGGTAGACCACTGTTGACATTAAAGCCAGGGGGCATTTGATCTGTTATAGCTTTTTATCCTTTGAGACCCTAACATTAAACGTATTAAAAAGCATGACAAGGTAAACTCTGCTTAATAGGAAGTTAAAAAGCGCAGAAGTCGGGAGATTTGTGAGTTTGGTCTAGTTCAGGGATGAGTGCCATTCCACACTGGTTTTCGTTATGGGTAGCCGGTAACGCTCACCTCCGCTAATCGCAGTTCTTAATTTTTCCACTACTTGCTTTTCCGCGGGGTGGCGCTTTTAATTACCAAAATATTTGCCGTCATGATGGTGTTGACATCCATTTTGCTAAAAATACTATCCTAATTTTTTCTGTTTATATTTTGGACTTAAAATCAAAAAGCACTGGGAATGGTAACTTATAAATGAGAGTGGTTATCACTTTACCAAATGACATTTTAAGTATTTCTAGCTAAAGTCGATCTGCGAGCAATCAAACCTTTGTATGTTTTATGCTACTTATAATGTGAAAAGTGGTTCAGAAAAACAGCTAAAATTATAAAGTGTTTCTAATGCGATCCTGATGGTCACAGATCTTGAGAAATGATATTGTACCCGAAGAGCTCCTTCGACTTAAGTAGCCAAGTGGCGTTTAGACAAAGCGATTGCCCCTACTGTCCGGTGAAAAGAAAAAACTGCTGAATCAGATATCATTAATAGCCTTCATTCCAAAAAGCGTTAGCTTGTGATATTTAAAGCAAATGGTACCCTTTGATAGACGTCTAAAACATCTTTACTCAAATCGCAAATGCAAACAAGTATAGGAACTTTGAGAGGAATTCAACAGTTTCCTTAGAAGCCCAAGTGAGTTCAAATGACATAAAAGAGATATGCTCGCAAAAATTCGTAAATAAAAAGCAAACGCAAGAAGAATTGATATAACCAGCTTTGCTGTGATTTGAAATGCTTCATGGCGTCATAATTCAATCATTGATGGACCACATGTCACTATGAAGCACCGGAAAACAAAAATATCTTAAATGATAACAAATTTTGGCGCTCTGCTCCCGCATTTTGCATTGTAGACATTAAGTGTATGAGTTTTTAGTAGATGCATGAGTCTAAAAAGGAGTGAACAAGATACAATTTTTGAGGATTTTAGTTTGCTTAAACTGGGACCATTATAACAGGTTTATGATTCGTGTAAATTTGTTGATGCTGTTTCATTTGCCAAAGCGCCAGAATCACAGGAATCAACGCTGCTCCACAACAACCGTTATCTAGAAAGAGTGTAGATTCATTACAGTAGATAATTTTAACAAGCAAGTTTTAACTAAGGTTTAAGATTCAGTTCAAAAATAAGAAATAATAGAGTCGCTTTGAGCCAAAAATAGAATAATTTTATTTCAACCACTTATAAAATTGTAAAACAGAGTATATGTTTATATTGTAGTGTTTTATGCCAACTCTAGATGGCCCTGCATCTTTTAGTTAACTAATGTTTGCCCGGGACGGCCGGAAGTGTCCCCATATAGGTCGTTCTTTTGTTGTTCATATTTTGGATATTTTTCATATGTTCTGTTGAACACCGTGTTACGATTGCATGCTACATTGCCAAGCGTTATGTACCAAGGATTATCCCTTTTAAATTTTAGAATGCAAAATCAACCGACTAGAATTCCCGAAACTACACTTAAACTGCTTTATTCGTGAGTTTATTCTTCATTTGTCACCGCTCTTACGACTCTTAATAGACTCTTCATTTCAAACACTCCTCAGTCTTTAAAGGACAATTGGAAGTCCAATTTTACTCGCATCTTCTCTGAATTGGAGTACGCTCACTGGTTTTACCTAGACAACTGTCTTCAAGATAAAAATGAAATAGGCCTTGATCTTTTTGGCCTGTGTCAAGAAAGTGGGTACTAGTTTTGCTAAATTTGAACTGAAGATACAGCTTGTAATTGTTTTGCTGCTCTTCCTAGTATTCACCCGTTTCCCACATCTCATTCCCAAGAAGACTGATTGGAAGGAGAAGTTTTTCGAATGGAAGCGTTATCGAGGAACCACATGCACAGGAAGTGCAATAGTTCTCGATGAGTATCTCTCTATGGTTCTACTAGTCCAAGGCTTTAACAACAATCGATGGACATTCCCTGGAGGCAAGGTGGGTCAAGGGGAGACTCTGCAAGACTGTGCCATTCGTGAGGTCATGGAGGAGACTGGACTTGACATTGAGCATCGAATCGACCGGGATCTCTTCCTTGAAGTTGTCGTCGGAGAGACGACGCATCGGGCTTACATTGTGGAAGGGTTTCCTCGGACCAGTCGGCTTCAACCCTCTACACAAAACGAAATTGAGGTAAATGACGTTGTCTTGCGGAGTCTTTTTACCAAGGGATGTGATTTATGACTAGTTGCTTTTTTTGGTTGTCTCCGCAGGCGATAACGTGGTTTTCTCTGGTGAATCTTCCCTCTCATTTACAGGATAATGCGCCCGTTGCGAAGATGAACTTCAAACCTAGTCATTTTTTCTGTGTAATACCCTTCGTCAAGTAAGTAGTAAAAGGTTTTTAGACATTATCAAAGGAGCATGTATATCTGAGATGCTTCAGTAGTTACAAGATTATTTAAAATTTTTTACTCACTGTAGTTTTCTTCCACTTTTCAAAGAATTCTAATAAAGTTTTGGCCGATTAAAGTCGCTGTACTCTAGGAAAACCCCATATATTCTGTGTATCAATGACCTTCACTTCCATCCTATCCAAAAGTGATTTTATTCAGTATCTGTCAAGCCTTTTATAGTGGTAAAATTGTCAATTTCCTTTAATCAGTCTTTTACATTGTTATCGAGCTGACATTTCAGGTGGTTTTCTGTTCGTCTTGATAAATAATTGGGACGTAGAGGCGGTGCATTACAATATTGCGGTTTAATCATTACAATGTTGCCCAGCCACCTATCTGGATTACCATCGCGTTCTATGATAGCGAAGAGGTATCTCATATTGCAACCAATTTTTAAGGGACGCTCCTGATTCCTCAAAATAGGGACTTTATGCAGAACATTAAATGGAAGCTTTTGTAATGATTAAACCTAGTTTCGGCAATATTTTGTAGTGAGTCTATGGATTTATTCTTCTTTTGACAGCCATGGTACCCGGCCAGCAGAGGGCCAGATCCTTGCTCTTCTAGTGTGGCTCGTATGCCATCGCCGCCACTAGTAGAAACTACCCAAAAGGGGATACGTCTTCCTTTCATGAAGGTAACAGCTCTAAAACCCTCTGAGATCCTTTGCCCTATCCTCCTAGGCGACTTCGGGCGTACGTGAAACTGCGCCAACAGGGTGTTGCTCCTACTACTGCACTGGGACGATCGACGCACACACGGAAGCAGTCTTCAGTGCCCCCGTCAGCGTCCTGCATCCACAAGTCCAGCTACTCCGCTGCCACCGCCTTTACTGCGGAGCCCCCGCTGTCCTCGGCCTTTTCGTTAGCCAGGCCCTTGTCTACCGATCGGGTCTTGATTCATCCTGCGACACCGCCGATAGAGTGCGTACTGTTGAATGGATTCTTCTGATCTTGTTTTGGGTGCAGTAAAGGAGTTTTGAATGGCGTTCAGTAATTTTAGGTGCTTTTGTTCGGTTCCACTTTTTATTATACATAATACCAAAACGGTTTTTCATTGTGATTTAACATCATAGCGCCACAGCTGGGGGAAACAATTAAGTTCTGGGGATAAGAAATCTCACTTCCGCCGTTTCTCTTGTGATTTATGATTCACAATCTGCAGTTCCCTTCAACGCTTTCTTCAAGTGGTCTAATATTACAGAAATAACAGTTGCATCAGATCTTGTTGCTAATTCGTATGTGGTGAACTTAGGGTGGAGGAGGACACATCAATTTACTCTGGGATTTTTCATTACCACTTATATCTTTACCTTTCTGATACGTTATTCGTCGATTCTCATAGCTGTTCATGCTGATTGATTAGCTTCATGATGGAGTTCATTATTACATTGATTGTAGTGGACCCTTGACTGTTGAAACCTCATCATCATTACGAGAGTAAATTATCTCAGTCATCATCAAAGCCTGAAAGGTGAAAAATGATTAATTTGAGTCAAAAGATGCGTAGCATACCGCGTTGGATTGAAAGCGTTCCTCCATTTGGTTAGTTGAACCGATACACTCCGGCAGGTTAGATGTTTGACGGTTAACAAATTTAACCGCTCAGCTTTGGATAGCAGCAGCGCCTCTGCAAGCGACACCCAAGCTCATATTGGGTAGGAATCGCACTTTTTGTCAAAACTGCAAATTAGCCACTGCACTAGCTCCTCACTACAAACTATGCATTGATTTGAAGTTAAGGTGCTGAAAAGTGTGCATAATTTCGAATAATTGCTCGGACTAGTTTCTCGTCAATCACTGCAGCATATCAACCTAGATCTCGGGGCTATTGACTGTTGATGAAACATTGCTTTTTGAGTTCGAAGAGTCCAAATTCGAATTGGAAGTAAAATTTGGACATAACTTTGCTTTTATTTCCGGTTTAAATTGCGGTTTTTTCATATTTCGGAGCGTGAATTAATTGAGCCACTTGTAGCGACTGCTTCTCGTAATCCTACAAATAATTCTGTTTTTTGTAGCATCTTTGGGGATAGACGTAATTCCAATCATTTATAGAAAGTTGGGAGATAATGTCTATCAAAAGCGACAAATATGATAGCTAAAAGGTCGGTCTTATCTCTATCGACCGAAGTTGTACACGTTTTCGATTTGAGACGCTAACCTCCGTTCCTTTCCGTTTTCCTCTTTTAGCCAACACTTGCCACCTTTGCTTCCCCAGCTTAGTCCTCTTCATTCATCGGTGAGTTCATGTGAAAATTTTTCGTGTAATTGCATATCATATTCAATGGTGATATCCCATCAAGGTATCTCTGACGATACTAGCTAATTTTGCGTGCAATCTCTATGGCGGTCGTAATTGCTTGTAGGCTGAAATTGGAGTAGAAAGCGGGAAAAATACATCAAGCATATCAGTAGTCTGGTAGATTCCGAAAGACATCAGTTCAATTAACTCCAGCTTTGCGTCAATGAACTTCTTCGCGGACCTGGAAATCGTTGGAATTGTAGTTTGCATATGCGTTATTTAAGATGAATGTGTTTACTGTTTCCGCTTGTACAGATATGAGGAAAATAAGGCCTTCGTCGATTTCTTTTGTTAGTTTCGGCTGTCTTCGCTTGGAGGGAGTCATAACCCACCTCCCACTATTCATAATCATTATGATGAGATTCATCTACTGAGCGTGGATTCCACCGTGGCAAAGGACAGTATTTGGGGTGGCCGGGTGAAACTGAACTCGGACGCTCTGGTGGACATCTTTGCACCCTTATCTCGAGATGCCCCATCACTACCAACCCTCCACCTCTTTGACGCTGCTAAATGACTATCCCCCTCTTTGGGGTCACGAGGTGACTTCCTTACGTCGTTCTTCTAGATTTACTTCTCTTTACCTAGTACGTTTTCGTTTTTGTACATCAGTTTGTCTTTCGCAGGCAGTTTTAATACTTCTTCATGACTTGAAGATAATGATTGCTCTGAATTCTCGAATTGAGATGAAATTCTGGGGAGAACCTTATTGACTATTCCTTTGAAGTCTGTTTATTTGATTGAAGCAGTTCACGTCGCGACTAATTCTAAGAATTGTTCGTGACTTGCTTAACAAATTATAGCTTCTTTATCTACCAAATAATCATCAGTAAACTCTGTACTGTAAAACGTTTTTCGGATATCATTAAAAGCTAACAACGATTTTTGAGATCAAAGATAGTTTTCTCAAAAAGGATCCTTTTTGCGACTGGGTTTACCAATATCTCATTCGATCCTAGGGGAGGTTTCACGATTCTCAGCTCCTTTTGTAGATGTCACTGAGGTGTGGTACTTCTTCCCCTAAGTTACCTCTTATTTTGCACACCACATTTGCATTTGGGCACGGTTTGAACACCTTGGATTCTCATCTTTTTCCTGAATGGTAAGTATAAGCTGATAAAATAAGTTTGTTCTTTGTCATACAAATTAAGTAACCACAGAAAGTGCCTTAAGATTACCCATGCCATAAAAGAGGCACAACTAACGGAGGCCGACAAGATGGTGTTTTTAAATGGAAATTGGAATTACTATTAGTTCATTATAGTATACTCATGTTAGGGACCCATTTCCCGACCTGATAGTTCTCTGACGACTCTCCTGCCTTCTTTTGAGGCAACTATCAAATGATCAAGAAATTTCGGTTGATTGTCATCGTACCTCGCTGCAATTGCCTCTTATGCTCTGAAGGGGCCTGCAAAATCCATACGCTATTTCGCATTGCATTACAAGGCATGGATACGCATCAGTTTGCCGGTACGCTTAGTCCTCCACTCTCCTATCCCCTTCTCATTTGAAATCCAATCGGTGGAATTTGAGTTTACCTGCTTTACGCACTGGCTCCAGAACTGTGGCTGGAGAATCTTCTCGTTGAGCCTCTCGTGAAATAATTGGCGGTGTGATTGTAGGTGTCAGCGTATCACGCTTAGGGGGACCCCTCCATTCATGATTATAATAGGGAATAAGGTGACTTGGAGACGGCTGGCAAGACCATCTTTAAACAATATTGAACCGAGAAATTGGGTAAACGACTCCCGCTCACAATTATCACCTTAAGAGATGGTAATAAGCCGTACTGGCTATGACTTGGCTCTTCATTAACCTATATTTTATGAAAAGGCGATTGATTTAATTGTACTGAAGAATGGCTTTTGTCCGTCTGAGTTGCACCTTTCCAAGCCAAGGAACATACCATCGGCTCTCCCAAGGCATCCACTCGCGATGCACCCCACGCTTCTAAGGCACATACTACCTCACTCCCACAAGACCGTCTGCTTATTGTAGGCGTTTTTTGACCTTATTTCTGAAGGGAGAGATAAGGGCAGGCAAGCAAGCTGCTCCATCCTCATCTTCCCCTGTTTCCCCCTAGTGATGCTCATCACTTTTTCCTTGTATCATTCAATCAAATGTGAAATAAGGTGACCAGCTGGGAAGTTGAGGTATGATGACACCGGTAGCGATCAGGGATGGATTCATTGTTTATAGATACGGAATGTCTTGTAGTGCTGAACTTGCAATAGGTTTTGCCTCCTTTCGGAAAGGAATATAGGTAGCAATGATGACAGGCAAATGTTGTATTTTATAGTCATCCGTGTGCTTAACTTCTATAACTGATCCCTCCCCCGTAATCTTTAAATTTCAAACAAGTTGTAATAACGTGGTTCTGCATTTTTTTTCGATTTTCTTCAAGCACTTCTTGTGTAATGCATAAACATAGGGCTTAGTGGAATAGGTAATTGCTGTTAAGTTAGTATCATCTCAAATAAAAGCAAATTGCGAAAAAGAGACAGAGGTGCAGAGAAATCATCGAGGAATTGGATAAAACCCCTACTACTACTGCTACTACTCCTTGAAATGGGCCAGCAGGCCGTCACAGACTTTCTTTGCATCACCCAAAAGCATGTCCGTGTTCTCCTTGAAGAACACGGGATTATCCACGGCTGCGTAACCCACTCCCAAAGTTCGCTTCACCATTATCACCTGAAGGAGAGGAAGGGTAATAAAAGTACTTTGCCTCCACTTTTCTGAGGCCCAATTAGCAAAAAAGGAGGAGTTGCAGTTCACCTTTTTAGCCAACCAGACACGGAGGACAGGCATTCCGGCGAGTATAGAGTTGGGATCCTCCTCAGCTGCCGAGTTGACAGTGTCATTAGCACCAATAACAAGGACCACATCAGCTTTCGGGAAGTCAGGATTGATCTCATCCATCTCAAAGACAATGTCGTAGGGCACTCCAGCCTCCGCAAGCAGGACATTCAATTGACCGGGCATTCGACCTTGAGGGGACCAATGAAATGCATTTGGCAATCTTATTAATGCACCGTGCTACAAAAGCTAATGGATGGTAAATTTTGTGGGCTGTTGAATGCTGTTTTCGAAAAGGACCAAGAAGCAGCTTACCAGCCACGGGATGAATAGCAAATCGGACTCGCTTTCCCCGTTTTGTGAGAAGTCTGGCTAATTCGGCGATGGGATATTGGGCCTTGGCAACACAGAGACCGTAGCCGGGTGCAATGATGATATCCTTGGCGTCTTCCATTAGTTCCCCAACAGCTTCGACAGAGGTCTCACGATGGGTGCCTGTTGCAGAAGAAAGCGTGAAATTCAGAAAGGTGATTCCAGCTAAGATTTTCTACCTTGTGTAGAACCTGCTCGCTACTCTTTATGAAAAGTTGAGAATTTGTGCGCAGCCAATGTTCATTACTAATATTGCAAGGAGTGTCAATCCACACCGAGGTTTTGATGTCCCGAATCTCAGCGAAAAGATGCAAAAACAGCAGCAATGCACGCAGAGATAAAGTGGTAAATCTATCTTGACACCACTAATGAAGACGGCGGGGGATAGAGGCAATGCGTCCACCTAATAGCGTGCGGTGGACAAAAAGATGAATTCTTCCAACAAAGTAGGATGCCATAATACGCAGCTGCAGCAGTTCAGTTGACTGCTCCAATTCCTTTGAAGACTGCTGTAGGTCTGTCAGAGAAAACTCCGATAATGGTGCTTCCAGTCCCAATCCGCAGTGATCATTCAACCAGCACGTAAAACGCTTTGTTCTGGGAATCCCATCTACACAAATCCTGTCGTAAAATCCCACAACTGACAAGGCTTTCAGTATAGTCAGTGAACACAAGCTACTGCTTAAGAATATTTGCAATTTCACGAAATGGATGTGTGGTGGCCACTGCGATAGCTTCCCACCTTCTATCAGTACAGTCAAGTGGGCTGCCCCAGAAGAGGTCAATCATGCCGACCAATCTTACTCTGCCGATGGATCTCATCAAGTATTAATTATACCCTGGAAAAATGTAGCAGAGGGCTAAAGGGAAAATGAAGTAAAGGTCTCACTTTCCCGTTGCAAATTCAATAGCCCCTGATTAACTCAAACCACTCTCACCTGTCAACAAGTAGCTTGGTAAGAAATGAGACACTCGATCACTCGACTTTCATCGAATTTTATTTCAAAAATGTAACTAAGCTACTAAAAATCAGTTTAAACTTGGAGTCACTCGTTCCTACCACTATCAACTGATGTGACAAAATAATCCATTTGTTCTGTCCTCGATCCTTACGTTGGTTGAATCGTGCAACGCAAGATAGTGGGTTTCCACATCAAGGCCAGGATACTTGGATCCTAGGGCTTTGATCCACTACCCTTTCCAATCCTTTTCGTCCATCTAAGGCTTGCCTGTATTGTTAGGAAAAAGTGTAGATGAGGAATGAATTGGTTTCGTGATAAAGATCTACTGACAGACTCAACATTTACGAAACTCAGAAAAATAAGATAGTGTTGGTTGAAATGAATTGTTTTTTTTTAAATTCGTTGGTTTTGTTATTTTTACCTACCAGTGAGTTCTACGGCCTTTCGGCTGACGAATGTACAATACCGCAATTCAGTATGAGTCCGACTTTATGGCTTTAACCACTCAACAAACTTCAGCAATATCTGGTCGCCTAATATGGCCAACGTTGATATTCTTTTATGTAGCGACCTCAAAATGTTAACTTATCTGCTCAAAATAATCTACTTAATTACCTTAATGTATTATTTAAGTAGTATGAAGCAGGTCTGTAGCACTCCGAACGAGCCAGACTTGATGGCGTCTGCATTTCGTAAAGATCAGTGACCGGGAGTCAGTTAATAAAAATGGACGTAATCCTAGTTGGGTCAGATTTTAAATGTTCTGATTCAATCTCCCAACCTGCAATCATTTCCGTGCTCCTTTAACCGACCATCAAAAGAACTGCGTGATTCTGGATAAGCCAGACCATTAAATAGCTAAGTTGTCTAATCCACATACGGACATGATCTCCATGACCATTCAAATCTATGTATTTTGAGTTGAATCGGGCCTTCAAAGTGTTTACACTCACTGATCACTCGGGCCCACGTTGCTAACAATGCGATTAAAAATAAATCCAACTTTTATGATGTCCAGTTTCAGTAATTTTAAGGGTCTTCCAACCACAAAATTTAAATAAGCAATAGTCAAATTCAGCCACACTTGCAGTTCCTCGAATTCGCAATTCCTAGTGGATGTGATTTGGTTAGTGACCTCAAAACACAAGTGGTCTCTTTGCCCTTTTAAACATGTAAGGCAATTTCCACTACTCGACCTCCATTGCGGTGGCCACTTCCAGGCTCATATACCTTACAACATCCATGTAATACGCGGGAACTCTTCGAATGAGAGCATAACTTTGAGAAGCCACCTTATATTGCTCACTTCGCTTAAATGAATCTGCAGTTAGGTAGTCATTGCCATGATAAGCAAATGGCTTTCAAAATACGCTCGCCGTGGAACATCGGTCAGCCTTGGTCAAGGCCCGGCAACGGTCTCTCCATATTGCGATACGCTAAGAGAACGTAACAGGTGGACTCCCGAAGATCAGTGGGATGCGCAAATACTCCCGATATTAGGATAGATGTTCATCGGATAATCTCCATTTCCGTCTCACGGTTGTTTTTAAGTCATTTAAATAGTATTTTGATTGCTAAAGCAAAAATGTAATCAGTAAGAGTGCTGAGGACAATGCTAAAAAATATGAATGACCTTTTTTGTGGTTAGGAGAGCCTTTTTACTTTCTTACGATTTATTAACAATGGAAGTGAAAAATGTCAACTATGCGTTAACTCTTCTGTGCGGCTATAAAACATGTTTTTCAAACTTGAATATCTTGTAATGTCTTGAAGAGAGTCTTGAATGCTACAGCGCACTATTATCCGGTTTGGAACCCCGTGCTCTCGGAATCTAGCTTATGATTGCCCAATGCAAATTTGTATAGTTCAAAGTAAAATCGGCTCTAGGAATGGTAACTTTGACCTACCAGTAAGCCCCGCGGTCTGGGCCCCAGCAGGAGCTATGCCATAACCCCCAAGAATTACATTGGGAAGGGAGCGATTCATCGCCCGGCACATGATGTAAGAGAGGATGGCACCGGAAGAACCAATCAGCGCTCCCACCACCGTCATGAGGCTGTTGTTCATCATGAACCCCTCCGCACACAGCGCCCAGCCTGAGTAGCTGTTGAGCACCGTGATCACCACGGGCATATCAGCACCTGAAATGCCAACATTACCCACCTATCATTGCCCACTCATGTGACGGGAGGAGTAGTAAGAAATAACAAACCTCCTATCGCAGCGGTTAGAGTGACACCAGAGATTGAGCCTGCTAAGGCAGCACCGCCGAGCAGCACGGACAGAGGCATCATTGGGTTCTCCAATTCTCCACCAGCTGCCAAAAAGGCTCCCAGGCCAGCTGTGGAGATACCGACAAGAGTAGCATTCAACGCGTGGCGCATGGGAAGTAACAATGGTTGGGAATCCAGAATGCCTAATAACACGTAATGGAGAAAAATAAAGGCGAATAAACAGACATTAATATACACGGGCAAATAAACAAATAAACGGCAGGATAAGAGATAAAATTGAGATTCACCCTGAAGTTTGCCGAACGCGACGAGTGATCCGGTGAAGGTGACACCACCAATCCAAGTTCCCAAGTAGGCGACAGTTTTCATTAAATTTCCGGCCCCAATAAGACTGGGATCTGCAAACATTATTGGCGCTTCAATGATGTAGTTAGCCACACAGGTCAGCACCGCGGCGATACCAACCAGACTGCAACGTCAAATACCGCTGTTAGTCAAACTCCTAACGCAATGAAGTGAGTAAGAGATCTTTTATTATCAGACCTATGGAAGAGAGCAACCATCTGGGGCAGACTTGTGACCTCCATGCGAGAGGCCGCGTAGCCACCGACAGATCCACCAACCAGAAGACAACCAAGCATTTGTGCCAACAGATCAGGATGGGGTTGTAGCATGCCGAGAGTGACCGCCAGTCCTCCAGAAACACCAATCATACCCAGAAGATTGCCTGGATGGACATGTGCATGAGACTTTAGGTGCTCCTTCAATAATCTACTAGCTCTCAGTGAAAATTTTCTCACACTTACCTAGGCGGCTGGTCTTCTGACTGGCCAAAGCAGTGATAGCAGCGATGCAGCAAAGTGACGAGGCAAGGTAGGCAGCGTGGTGAGCATCTTCAAGATCCATTGTGGGCCCAAATTGCAGCAAACTGTAACCGTAGGTGCCAAGCAATGCCAGAGCTGGGATTCCAAACAGGTAGTTGTGCTCCGGTGCGTCGGCTGAAAGAAATCAGCAGTCAGCATCGTTTCCTTCGATTGTGTTTATTCTAGAGCTTCAAAGCTGATGATTCAATTGATGTCTAAGCGACGAGCAAACCATGACAACTACTTCTTTATCTAAACTGGTTCTGACGCTCCCATTGAATCAACGATCTTCGTTCCTTAAACTCATTTTAAATACGTTAAAATTCAAGAAAACTTATTTAAAAAATTACCTTTCAGCACCTACTAATATGCCTCAACTTTTCAGGTAGCTTAAAATTCAAGGCGATAGCTTAATTTAGAGTACTTACTGGGCCTCTTGAACATGTTAAGCATCCTCTGAGTGACAAGGAAGCCACCACCAATGTTGATAGCTGAGACGAGAGTGGCGAGGGTTGCCATGGTCTGAGGCACAGTGACGGGGGCTAACCCTCCACCCATCAGCATGAGTCCACCCACAGCAGTGATGCCCGAGATTGCGTTGGTCACCGACATCAGGGGTGAATGAAGTGCCGGCGTCACACCCCACACCGTGTGGTACCCTACAATCGTGTAGAAGGAAAAACGAATGTCATTAGTGCCAACTATTCGTCATGCTTAGGCACACACACCGATAAGTCCCTCAAAAGTGGATAGAAAAGGTATGTAGGAGTGACCTCGGCTTCAGTATTGCTAGTTGGAAGGCAAGCTCTGTTAGTCTCCAGCGCTTCAACCTACGCATTAGTTGCAAGGAGCTATGCTAATAGTCCTCAAGTCCTTCCTGTTTGCCTCATAACGACCTTAGAGAGAACTCGGGTAATGGGGAGTCCGCTCCAAAATAGGGATGATTGCGCTCCCCACTGGGTGGGTACTATGACAAAAAAATCAGCTTTCAAAAGTCGTATCTGTGGTGATCCATGACCGTGTCAACTTTTGGCAGCTACTCCAATCTTGGGTTCCAATAAATGATCAGTGCTTGATCAAAAACAAGATAGATTGAATGCAAGTAGTCTACGGAGGAAGTTTTCACAAAGCTCGTGTCAAAGAAGTGATTTGCAAAGATTAAACACCCACTCATGTTGTGAGAAACTAAAAATAATCCACATAACTGACTTGGTGAAAACTGAAGTGGTGTTAAAGTGGAGGGAAGAGCCGAAAAAGGAACACAGGTTTGCGAAAGCTACTTTATGTCGTACCTTTTAGGTTTTCCCTTAAGCAGATGATCCTACGAAAGGCTATTGCTACGCTAAATGAAATTGTTTCAAAACATCGGCCTATCACGATAGGGTTAAAGGAAAATGTGATATTTATGAACTCCATCTAAATCCATGAAGTACATTACAGCTAGTGAAATAAGGAGCATGATCGTTACGATGCGAATTCATCACATTATCTTAGTTTCTACCTTGCAGTTGATAACGTCCCAGTGGAAGGCTTGAGAGGGTTGAAGCAGATGGATGACCATAAAGGGGAGCCGAGAACGAGGCTCAAAACAATAAGGATATTACGCACCATAATGGTATTTGGTTAATTGGACATAATTTGGCTCAAAATAGGTAGCTATCAGTCTTCAATTAATTCCGTACATTAGAAATAAGTCGGCTTTTTAACTCGTAAGCCTCAAGACCCAGCTGACTTGGGTGTTGCATTAGTAGCAGTAAAGAAAGTAGTCCGATTTTCTTACGGTCACCTACTTATATCGCATTTAAGTAGACCCACCGACAATCCCCGCAAGAGTGAAAGTGGAGAGCGTCTGCATGAATGCAGGCGAAGGCGAGGCTAGACCAAGACCCACAAGGCCTGACAGACCAACACTGGTGGCGAGTGCTGACTTGAGTTTTGCGACTCGAGGATCTACCGGCACCACAGCGACTGTCTCCACAGCCTTGGGCTTCGCTTCCGGGGGCGGGGGTGATACCGTGACAGGGGGTGGCGGTGGCCACATCAGTTCGCCCTGGGGAAAAAATGTCAGATAGATTATTCGTAATGAACAAGAATGGAACCAGTCACACGGTTAAAAAGTTGCTTTTAGTGAAATAAGTTAATTTCCACATTTACGTACATCTGAGACCCCAATTTCCTTACCTTATTTCAGCGTCACAAGGCTGTGACACTATTGCTATTGCGCTACCTTGCGTCACAAACAGCTTGCTTGATGTTAAAGCAGTAAAGTAAACGTAGGATGCTTATAATCTGTGAAGAACTGCGTTTTCTTTATTTTAGAATAGAAAAACAAAGACGCAGAAGTGTTGAAACTCCAAAACATTGTTATAGCTCCACCAAAGCCTAGTTAAACTTACCTAGTTCCTTAATTCCGCCTTACAATCGAAACCACCGAATAAATTTTTGACATCCTTAAGTTTAGAAAAGTGTTTTTCTAAGTAACTTAAGGTGGAGGAGAGTAATTGAAAGCACCTGAAGAGCAGCTTCTGGGAGAGAGATTGAAAATCTCTTGAGTAAAAGAGATGGGAATATTGGAAAATGTCACTACATGGGTTCGGTTTGATTTGATAAAGGATGCAAATGACACTCTTATTTACCTAAGTTAAGTAAGAAAGATGAGATACTAATGAAGCGAGTTCGCTACTGTTGTCACAGCTCGTCGTAATGACTTCGTGTAACGAGTAGGCATTGCGAAGCAGGGAAGAAATGCGTAATTCCATTGGTACGGTGCCCTCATACCAAAAATGTCAACTCAAGACTGCTTGCACCAATAACAAAGTGTAACTCGGTTTCAAAGCTGCAAGCGACTCTCGTAGAGCACTAACATCACTTCCACTCCACTTCACGATATAAACAATCATAGGTAGAGACAAACTTTTTTGCTGACTGACGGACAGACATGTAAAGCCTGTTTACTAAGAAAAACTACATCCAAACCAATAGGAAAGCAGCGAATGCCGGGTAAAGTCTGAGACCGATTCTCATCTCGGTGTCATGATGTTTCACCCGTGTCACTTCTGTTAACAGTCCATCACTTCCTCTGCACATTCGTGATATTACAATACAGTTCGTCCATATTATTCACATTGAGGTGAACCTTGTTTACTAAACGTTAAAATAGAATACAGACGATTTATGAACAATACATAGTCCAAAATAGTTGGACTGTGTACGTATAATACATACTAGCTTAAATGGATCTTTCGGGTGCAAGCGGGCAGGATAACGAATTTCATCCTCGATCCTAAGGAGGAGGACAAACTCCAATCTTCCCACAAAACTTCGACTGCGTGCCATATCTCACATCCCCACTTCAGGATGTCCATCTCTAACCATTCTTCATAATCCAAGGTTATGGAACTGGAGGTTGAAGTGCAAAGGAGATATTTGTGGTTGCAATAAGTGGACTCAATCCAAATGGACGAATATTCCACTTCTTGTGACTGAATAGTGAATCTTGACGTCGCAGAAGAAGGTAGTCTGTCGTAGCTGGGTGGTAGGCGGAGGCGCCTAAAGGGAGGGTTAAAAATGACGTCCACCTTCGGCAGTCATCCCACTCCGCCTCTTAGAAGAGGGATAGTAACAAGTGAAGCGATATTGGGCTTGGAAATTTCGAGAAATTCCCGTGTTAATAGGCAATACCTCCTCCATGTGTCTGTAGGATGAACGGATTCCAGGTAGGTCGACAGAGAGCTGAGCAGCCTTGGGGTGAAAACAAAGCGTTGAGGAGGAATAGATACATCATAAATAGTCCTGTGAAAGAGTTCTAAATCCCATTCTTTGTTAAGTGGTATATGAGATACCCTCGTTTGAGCAGTACGAAGCCAGTGCATTTTTCCTTCCACAAAACTGCTCACAAATAGGCCGAAGCTCCAGATACAGTAAAAGATCAGAGATACATCAAGAAAAAATTGAATGACTGGGGTTGCCAGTTCGCAGATGGCATTTCAAGTACCGACTACATTGTGATGGCCGACGTTGGAGGCCAACCAAGGAGAACCGAGGAGGACGATGCGCACAGTAAGGGAGGAGCCAAGTAATGATTTGGTTTCCTGATTACCCGTTGTGCATTTTTTTCTGCATTACTTGAGCTAGATGTGCACATTGTAGAATGACTGAACCAGACATAGTAAAACAAGAAAATATGCCTTCATTTTTGCGGAGGTGATGACTATTTTTAGATCTCGTGTGACATAACTTGGAAAGAAATACCAGACTGTGTATAGTGTGGACTTTGGTGTGCAGCACCATTCTTCGTTAGTCAGCAAATGCAGTAAGTTTAAGTAAAACTCGAAAATTGTAAAGTAGATAAATAAATATTTGTGGGTAGAGCTGAAAATATAAACTTTTAATAAAAAACATTCTCCGGAAAAGCTGTTTTGAAATTAGTGCTACGAACATTAGATTGTTTCTAGATTTCAAAATGGACTTTTTGGAAAAAAACACAACATTTTGGGTTTACTTATTAATAGAAATAGAGAACTCGGCAGCATCTCCTACACCAACACGTTTCAAAGGTTTGAGAGTGGCATTTATTTGACGGCAATGTCACTGAAATAGGTCAAGGAACAGCCAGTGAGGCCAACCAAACCGTTGAGAATGTCCACAACCCCAGAAAAACATCTCCGCCCGAGTTTCTAGAAGTTTCACTCGATGACTAATCGCCAGGATGTCTTGAGAGCAGTGCTCTGGCTCAGTCTCACCCGCGATTGGCTCGTCTCCGGCAGAGATGCATTCTGGCTGTGTCAATTATCGCTTGAAGGCCATGACAAGGTCAATCGATGGATGTAAATACGCGCAACTGGAATCACGGACTCACTCCAGGGCAGCCCCTCCTCTTTAGCCACCGGGCGTGTACCCACGTTGGCGTACTCGCGCCTACCGCTTATCCGGTGGCGCCCTCGATAAGATCCAAGAGACAGGCGCACACAGCCCCGGGTTACACTGATGGGTAAGTCAGTTTATAACAGCTATTGCCACAATTTATAACCAGCAGCCACCCAGTTTACGTGCAAACATCCGGTAGCGCCTACCCTCTGTCAACTGGATTTTTGGGTGGTCTGGAGGTAACCGAATAAACCAAGTGATTTGGGGTCGGAGCAATGTTAAGCACTTGCAAGATGGCCTTTTCTACCAAATGTGTTTCCTTATTTTGTTCTTATGTATAATTGAAAGGGCTGACTGGTGTAGAATTTTGAGCCAGGCACGGACTTCTTGTAAAGTCGTGTGCATAAAAAGAGAGATCATCAAGCCTCGACCATTATGCCATGGCACCACTGGAACCCATGCTTCGTAGGAAACTCACTAGGGTCTTCTACGGCCGAATTTCGTCTGTCTGAGTGGTGTATGCTAAGTATTGTCCCATGGTTAACAGCCACACCTATTTTAGTAGACACTATCAGTAAACATACTGTTTAAAATCGAGATGCAGCCAGCGTAGTCACAGCGCCAGTGAATACACCCACTTCAACATCGTGCTAATCACCTCGGCTTCATTCACCCAGGAGCAGGTGAAGCCATTCTACTCTTAAGGTTAGTAATCCTGTGGTCACACTCCCTCTGTCATTGAAATAGTCTCATCGCAGAAAAAACCAAAATCATATTAAAAATTAGTCCTGTTTTACAAGAAGAAGGAAACTGACCTTGTAGAGAACTGTACTTCCTCGAATCACTTCATCTTCCATGTCGTAATTTAAGAGGCCTTTGGCATCTGAAATCGAAAAGAGACCTCAGCATGACAAAAAATACAGAAATAGAAAACTGTCAGAAGCAAAACAGGAAGTTGCATCAAGATCCACCCATTGTTTATTTCATTAAAAGACGTGGAAACTCCACCTCCGAGAACCCACATAAGGCTATTGTTTCACCCGCATTCTGGGTCACAGTCGATAGCCGTGTTTACCAAGACATGAATTTCGTGTTCCTTTTGACGCTTAATGACAACCGACCTTCACGATGAACAAAAATAAATGGAGGGTTATGCGCTCAACACTAAAAGTGGACGCGGCACAATCAATTTTTAATTTAGAAGTGGTTTCATGTTTCTGGCATTCGCTTTGTAAAGGATATGAATTAATAAAAAAAAAGAACGTCAGCCAAGGTGTGCAAAATTTTGTTATTCAGGAAAAACAACAACATAGAGTAGATTGTGATCTACGACTATGATATTTACGTTTCCGGTGATCCTGCTTAAAGAGCTTCTTGTGCCACGTAAGAGGTGGATGGTTGTAACCAGAAGGGTTGAATTAGACCCTCACTTCCACTTTCTGACAATGAATACATCTACATCATGCCAATTGCCCGTTACATCCTCCGTGCCTTCCCAAGACTCCTGGAATCGAATCAGCGCCGGTCCGTTGGATATGTTTGTGCTTCGAATGTACGAGAGGCATGTAAGTTAAGCTGGGGCATTCGAGTTTGCACAAAAGGGTGAAAATTAAATAACAGAAGATGACTTTTTGCTGACTTACTTGCTCATTGAATCTATGGACTTATTCCAGCCCTTGATTAGTAGCTGGAATGTTTCAATAACATTTGGTACTCGAAATATACTACACAAAAATTTACAGTTCCACGAATGATTGTTTTTATTTACTAGTTTCTATGGGATGATTCGTCTCTGGTGCAATTTTCTGACTATAGGTTGTGTATCACTCAGGCAGTTAACGCGTTGACTGAATACTACGAGGAATGACTGTCCTGTTGAGAGACACCACAATCGTGGTCGTGGCGAGCAGACACCGCTTTTCAAAATGACTACCTTACTACTGAAAGTTCCATAATCTTATCATGCCGCTAGCATCTGGCACCTCGTTTAATGGTACTCAGACTATACCACGATGTAGTGCCGTCTACTAGTGTCAGGCGACCAAAAAGTGTTATAGCTCGCTGCAACTACTCCCTGTAATGCGAAGAGGACTTGTTTGGAACATGCCATTGTTTACATACACGCATAGTAAAGCACAGATCGGTGGGTTTCATTTTATCATTACCGTGCCCTTCAATTGTGCTCTCTACCATATTCCTCCTATTTCGAATTCACTCCATTTCAAAAGATATCTGTTGAAACTGATATACTAATAAACTATGAAACTGAGGATGACCACATTCCTCAGCGGTTCTAAGTGGGTTCTTTTTGACATCACCTTGCCACTCAACTTTTTCTACAAGTATTGGGGGAACTAGAAGGATATCCATGGGAATTCCTCTTAGATTCGGGCTCAGATAGGTCAGTAGCGAACCTCATGCCTTTCTCACACTTTTATCAGAAAGTTAGCATCACGAGAAACATTGGCAGACTGCATTCAGTTGAAGGCACGGGCATAACATTGGAGGTAGAAATTATGGGCAAAACAGGGTTCCTCAAGTACTCAGAATTGGCTTGGGATGTAAATCTTGGGACTGATTTTCCACGAAGCACAAGTGCTCTTATGGATCTTGAGCAGGGTGTCTTCACCTCTCATCGAGGTAGATAGGACGGCTTTACGACTTGCTACAATATATAGAGCCGCCGAAGTAGCATGCCCCTTTATGCACGTAAATTACAAGTTCAATTTTGACATAAATGCCACTCGCATCAGTCACACTGTCCTTCGTAAAAAGCTCAATCACACAAGTCAAGCTAAAATGGCAAGGCACGCGCCCTAGAAGCCCACATGGTGGTTGCATCAAGGTTGCCGATGGTTCCTGCCTTAAATACCACCAGAGGTTCAAAAAGATGAATCACTTTCCCAAGTGGTGGTGAAGCAAGGAAATGCCTACACTACTGGAGGCTGCAGTGCATAGGCTTTACCACTCCGTCTAGGCTATAAAGCGATTGGCTCAATCCCGTTGGACGAATGAGGGAATATCCAAGCAACTATATTGTTTACAGCAGTTGGCACTTCGTCAATATGAAAAATACCTCTTTTTCCTACAGTTATCAAAAGTCGGTACGCGAAATCAAGGGAACCATCTCTCAATTTGCAAATCCCGAACTTCTTTGTATTATGCAATGAGGCTCCCTACCAAATCTAGAACTTGTCTCAGGTAATAGCTTCAACCATGCATACTTTGTGCGGGTCAGGAAACTATTTTAAGTCCGATCTTCTTGCCTGTGCCTTGCGACACAAATGTGTGACAGGTGCACTTTGCCTGGTTCTGAGGAAACCGACTTAACCACATTGTGTTGCCAACAGAATGGTACAGTCTAAGACATTGGAGCAGATGAGTGGTTGCTTTTTTTCGTTTCAGAGCAGCCACTAGACTGATCAGAGTCACTGACAGCCATTAATATCGAAATAGAACATGAAAGAATCTGGATAGTGAAAGGTGCGGCTGCCAAGACCCTCTATTTAAGGTTGCGTTTTTTCTTAGGGATAATTTTCACAAAAGTGAAAAAGGAATGAAATTTTTTATATAGAAGTCCAAACCAGGTAGAAATTGGAAACTGAAAGAGGGGATTGGAATCAAATTTGATCGAGATTATGTAAAATATTTTCTTATTTATTATGAACATTGCCATCGTAATTTAATCTTGCCATCATCAAGATGGTGGTCAAAATGACAGACTGAGCCGAGATCAATAAGTCTGACACTTGAATAATCCTTTGGGAGGAAGTAACAAAAAAGGATTCACCGCTACTTTCGTAATATTGAGGGGACTTAGTCGGTGAAAAATGAAATAAAATCACTCCAAATGACCAAATCCCCATGTGTCATCCATCCACGTAGTTTATCTGTTCAAGCATGAGCTATCAAGAAAATGCAGGTGTCAGCTGTGATATTCTGCCCCATTTTAATACTCTCAAGTCCATTTTAAGCTGGAACAACAGGAAAACTGAATTGTCATTCAAAATCATGTAAAGTCAAGATGGATTAAAAGAGGACGTAGCTTCAGTTCCAATCCACCTCTGAGTGCTTCCAAGTGGCCGGATAAATTTTGGTGCTAAAATTGGCTAATCATTGCTTGTAGCTACAGTAAAACTGCAATACTTTGCCTATTTAACCCTTCATTTGGGTTTCCTGGCCGCTTTAAGGCGTCGTGATTATACTTCTGCTGGGCGGAATGGCCTCCGAGCCAGCCCTTCTGTACGTCAGTAATATGCACCCTGCCCTAGTACTATGACTTCACTCGTCCTCAGGAAGGATTCAAGGCGCTACAAAACAATGTATTCACGAGGGACACTAAGTCTCTGCCTCATGGTCATTTCCAGTCTATCAATCAACTGAGATGATTGTCTCACAATGATGATAAACACCTGAAAAGACGCCGATTTCGATGATTCAAAACAACTGGTTCCATCTCTTTGGTCTATGTCAAAAGTTAGCTTATTAGACATGCATAATGTTTAACAAGTGGACATTCTTAACTAAGAAAAAGAAATTATGATAAGAGAGGTAGCAGAATATGTAGAATAAAAGCAAAAGGGACTAGTAGAAATTGCTATTAGTTATTCTGCATGGCCGCCCTTTCACAAGCCGGAACACCTAGTGTTTGAGAGAGTCAAAAATACCAAAACGTGTCAGGAAAAGCGGAATAACAGGAAGGGTGAGGACTTATGCGCATCGAAACTACATCACTTTCTCTTGTCCTCCTGTAAACTTTCCTAGCTGACACCAATTACCACCTGACTTTCTCACTCTGAAGTATAGAAGAGCTGGCACAGAAGCAGAGATCAAGTAAGCAGGCAGGTAATTGTCTAAAGCAGTAGAGCGCTGATGACTGGCTAGAATATTCCCCTTTGACTTCTTCAGACGCCTTATACCTACTCGCAGTTATAGTCCTATTTTGGTGGACTGGAGGGTGAGATGGTAGTGGAAGAAGCGACATTTGAAGCAGAATAAGTAATGAATAGTAAAAAGGAAGGAACAAAACGGAGTAGGTCCTTGAAGCGTAAGAAGAACTGTCATTGATTCCCTTAAAGTTTTTTTTGAAGACCTGAATGTCTTTGCATTATTGTGGACAGAAATGCAATGTGGCTGGTAAAATGAGCTCCTGTAGACAGAGAAGAATCACCACCGATGAGAAATGCAATCAGAATTTGTGCCACTTGAAAAAGAGTGTCTAAAAGTCTTGACTAATGGCAAGGTTTTTATGAATGCCACCTAATTGTATCTCACTTATGAAAATAAAGTGACGATCCGAAAAACGGTAAGAATTGTAAGTGTAATTACATGGAACGTACTAAAGTTCCTGGGGTATCTACATTAATTTGTACATAATCACAGAGACTGTAATACTTCGAACTTCTGTTCAACTCTTCATTTGGATTATGTGGACACCTAGAGCTCCATCACTGTAATCACCCTCGTCAGTACGGCCTCCGGGTCGTGCCAGTAGCCACCCAGCCCTCCTGTTCCGTCCCAGTAATGATGACTTCTTTCGCCTTTAGGAAAGACTCAGGACGCCAAATTGGCAGTGGCGGAAAGCAAATCCAATCCCATGGAACAACCACCCTGATTTCTATTACTGAATGCTAAACCAAAATGTGACAGATTAGGAGCATTTGCTGCAGATGAGAGAATCGGTGACAACCCCTAACGGAAAGGCTCGAAATGACGTCTATCTTCGGGAACAAACTCGGTCCCGTGTTCTGCAGGAAAGCCAAAAACAAGTGAAGCGACACTAGCTGCGAACGATCTGGAATGTTTCTTATGGAGCTGCCTACGGTACCCATATAAGGATGTCAACAAGGTGAACACTACCATCTGGAGAGAATTAAGATATGGAATTGAGCAGAAACGAGGAATAGGCATGAAATCCCATTCCCAAGAGACCATTTAAATACCGTCCTTTGTTATACGACTGACTTTAGGTCAGTTATTCTTATGACTGGCGATGGGCATGCGGGATGACCATCACATCTCCTCCTTCCCCACTACAGCTTCCAGATCCAGTGAAGTTGCCAAGAGGCATCAGTGACGTTGTGATCACTTATCTTCTGAATTGCAGGCAAATTCAATGGCTAGTGCAAATAGTTCGTGGGTGCTTTCTTTCTTACAACACCGACTACGTTGTGATAGTCAAAGCAGGAAGTTGATCAAGGGGAGCGCCGAGGACGACGCTTAACAGGAGAAAGAGTTCTAGTAACAATCCGATTGTTTGTTTAAGCATGCGTCTCGATTAGGTGGTTACTTAAGCCGCCGTCATTGTTCTTCCACTTGCCGACATGGCCTCTGGGTCACGGCGACAGCCTCTCAGTGATACATTTTCTCCGCTAGTGCTGACTTTTTCGACTTCCGGAAAGACTGAGGGCGCTACAAAGACACCCTTTCTTGCTACTTCCAGCAATATTTCTCCAAAATAATTTGAAAACTAAAAAAACCATTGCATTACGTGTGATACTTTATATCGAAAAATGTTCAAATTTACTTAGAGCTTTTTTGGGGACTGGAAAGTTGAACAGGTGTAACTGAAGCACCCATATCGCCTGATGTAACCAAGTAATTTAGAAGGATTTTTAAAGCCAAACTTCTTAAAATAATCACTACTACAATCCAAAGTGCTAAAGGCAGTCCAGCTGGGAAATTCATTTTCGTGGGACTCTCCGTCTATAGAAGCAACACACCTGAATCTAGCAAACTCGAATTCTACAGCGCCGCCTGGAAAAATATCTTCAGAGGAATATGGTGGACCAGAATGAGGGAGTATCTCTCCCCAATTTAATATGAGGTCCTCTCTGCGGGTCAGTTTTGTGATATAAAGTAGGAGATGTTGCATCAGCTTGTACAAATAAGGCGAAAAAGTTCTCCTTGATTCGCCATTCCTAACTGCCTTGGCTGCATCTGAAGGATAAGTTTTGTTTGGACACTCTGGAGTTGTACCGCATAGCCTTGAGCAAAGAAATTTCGTCTATCTTTGTTCCATCTTCAAAAAGTGTAACACACACAGTGAACGATTTCATCTCCACTCTACCACACAGGCAAAACCGGGTATAATTTTATGGGGATGCGGTAGTGCGTGAAGAAGATCCTTTAGTGAATGGTTTGCAGAACAACCAGTGATGTGGCCGCTGGCCTACCTAGCGTTGCAGTAACAAAACCATTTTTCATGGCCTTTTTATAGCGTGTGTATGAGCAGTGAAGAGTAAATCGAATCTTTGAGCCTCTCTGCATGACAGTTGACCCCTTTTTGGTGAGCTTCTACCACAGGTTTCTCAGTTAATGCACGTTTAAAATAATCTTTTTATAACTTAATTCAGACATCCACGAAAGTTGTTTCTGACATGTAAAGGTGGGGATTTTCTGCTGAAGTCACCAACCAACGTCAATCGGGTTTGAATGACATTTCGTCATAAGGGTTTAAAAGGAGAGGATTGTGGCACAGCACAATAACGAATACCACACGGATAGACTGATGCCTATCTACCTATGCTTCAAAACACATGCATATAACCAAGTCCATACGAGTTACAAGAACTCATCGGCGAAAATGGCACGAACTCTTTGATCTTCTTATAAACATCAAGCGAGAGTCCGAAGAATGCTGGTGCAGATGGTTAATCCACACTATTTCATCAGTTGCCATGATAGATGTCACCATTCAATACGCAGAGAATGCTGCTCGTTGTTACAAAACACGAGACCGTGAAGAGATGAAAAACTGTCAGAAAGGGTGAGAAAATAAGAACTCCTCCTCTTTGCCTCTTGTAACTTATTCACCACTAACGTCCAGACTTTTTTCCATATCCGGTGCCACAAATGCTACATAGGTTTCTTATTTAATCCTAACAACTAGTTGCACCCTGCCATGTATTTCAAAGTTACGATAGTAGAGTGGTGAAAAATTTTTTTGTAGACTTTGCCTCAGCGATCTTGATTAGGTCCAGGACACGTCAAAGGCGCTCAACTGATGTCGGCAATCATAGGGCCAACAGTAGTACGAACAATTGAGCAAGGGATAGTTTCGTCGAGAATGGAGACTGGTAAGGTTTCTAAGTAATGTCTCTTTCGTCTGTAATCAGCTCAAAAAAATTAATTGAGAGCCTCTAGAGGCGAAAAGAACTTATCCCTAAATGTCTCTAACATTCTTAGAAGTGCTGTCGCATGTCGCCTAGTTTTCATAGACTGAGGTGCAGTAGCACGGCTGTAAGCAGGGCTGCACTAGCAGAAAACAGTATGAAAATTATCAAAGTACGCAGTGACAGATGAGGTGCTCTTCCTCTCTCTCAACATCATCTTGGAAAATTCCATGGTTATTACCTAATATCACTGGCGAAAAAAACAATATGAAGAACCACCAAAGGTTGAAGAGAAAGGAAATAAGAATGTTGAGATTTAAAAACTAGATGATTTTCTTTAAGTTTTTTAAAAATTTATCACTTTTGACAAACATTGCTTCATTTTTTTAGGCGATAAAAAGGAGAAATGGGTGGTAGAGAAGATTCAACAGAGGATTCAATGAAGGTTTAAAAGAACAGAGATGACAGTGAATTGGCCGGAAGAAGGAGACCACCTTCTCTAAATTAGCTTTAGAATTACCTTAAATGCCACTCTGCCCTTCTTTGACTAAAGGTAAAGAATATTTAACAAAAGAGTCTGTAGAATTGTTAACAAGTGAAAGAGAAGGGGACAGAATCCTAAGTACCTAGAAAAGGACAACTCTCCAGCTTGCATCACCCTGAATTTGAGCCCAATGCTATGGCCTGGTGGTTCATTCGCGTGGACAAGGAAGCAGAACAACTGATACGAAAGCAGAGTGACATCAGCAGGAATTGGGTATTAGGGAATTAAAACCTCATTCCTTCAACCATTCCCAAGAACTTCGCAGCAGGTACCATCTACTGCGAGACACATGTGAACATGTGGAGAATAAAATTGGAAAAGAAATGAACGGGCACGTTCTCAGCTACAGCAAAGATTTGCTCCCATTCATTACCTCGGCTATGTCAGTAGCTACCTCAGCCTCTAATTTGGCACACAAATGTCGTGGGAGGAAATAAAGGAATAAGGAAATTGCATGATGGAAAGCACGCACCCTTGTCCTTTGGCATCATGGCAACGAGGAAGTTGGTGAGGTTATTGGCGAAGAGGGCTGACGCCTGCCCAGCAAGGCGAGAGGCGAAGTCAGTGTAGCCGATGTGTACCACCCGATTCGCTCCGCCCACGTACATCTCCCCGGGCCGTGTGGTCTCCACGTTGCCACCCGCCTCCGCGGCCAAATCCACGATCACCGCACCCGGTCGCATCGAATCTACCATCGCCTATATCCATAATTTGCTCAAAATCAGATCTTCGTACCCGTGTGTGTCTATATGATCGCCTCTATGAAGGGGAGTGCGAGTCGTGAGAGCTTTTAAGGGGAAGTATTAGCCCTATTTAGTCTTAACAATAGACGGTAGCAATGGAATCTGCAGACAGTTTAGAAAGGCACATTTCCTATTTTTTCCAGGAAAAAGTGTCATCGAAATTATTAAATGGGATCTCTGTTTGTTTGGACCTAAAAGGGTGCTTTAATTATATTAGGTAAAGATGGGACATTAGCGTTTCCAGTAGAAGGGAAAAAACAAACTTCATGGGTTGGAAATTGCAGCCGTTCGCTACTACCACTGCATCTGTACAATCATTTTGGCAGAAAGTGCAGTCGAGCAACTTTAACTCGATCTTGGTGCTCAGAGTCCACTAGCCTATCGAGATTTGCATATTTTGATGTTCAGAAATGATTGTATTCACCGATAGTACAGAAAGATTATCCGGTTATTCGCAGAAGTGACTCCCATACCATAGGCTGGGAACCACCACAACCAAGACTATCGCTGACAAATATCCGGTTTTCTTCAAACCGTTTACTTCATTCAATCAGCTGTCGTACGGCTGAACGGATAAGCGTCCAACCACTGTCAAACCGTGCTTGAAGTCTTCTGCAGATACAAATGTCCTCAGATTTCATGTTTTTGTTTACAAGAAGCTACGTTAATCACCCCATGCATTGCCACTAGTGTCTACCATAAAAAGTTGGGCCAACTTTTGGTTTCGGTGCATGTTAGCAAACATGTCTCCTTTGTGGCCACTTACCTATGGGTTTCACAGCCCATCTTACTTCAGTGAGATAACGCTTACCAAAGTTTAACCAAGCACATGGCAGGCTCATTCTCCCCTTGCAGTGAATCAGATCGCGTGAGGATGAGGGACCCTATTTCTCCTTTCAAGCAACATATTCATCTAAGATTTTAGTTTTAATTCCACCCCAAATCGACTAGGCGTCTGGAGAAGACTGCATGCGTCACATCAAGACAACCGTCTTCGAAATTTCCTAACCATTCATAGACAATGAAGTTTTGCTGCATACTGAAAGCATTTGTTGAGGGAAAATTTATGCGCTTTCTCACAACACCCACCATATGCCAGTGTTTTTCCTCGGGCGAGATCGTGTTCAAGCTCTACAGCTGTCTTCATCCTTGGATGTACATTTATGCCAGATAGCAAGGGCAGGTGCTTTAATAAACAAAATCAGTCACACAGCGTCCTTCACCTTGACCAATCGCAACCCACCAAACACAAAATTGGAAATATGCTGACGGTCACTCGTGTGCTTGCAATTTAGATGGTTCCACTTATGAGTTGTCATTTCAGCCTGCTTTGATATGCATTACTTAGGATTAAGAATCACAATCTCGATTACAAAATACCACTTTTAGACCCTACTCAGCATACTTGGAGGTCTAGGTCCATCTCAAATCTTGTTGATGAATAGTCTATAACAATTTAAAGTGTATATCTGCTTCCGGTTTTTTTACACTCTTGTCTTTTCGGAAAAAAGACACGTTTTTCAGTAATAAAACTTGATGAGAATTTGTTAGCATTGTCACGTATATGTGAGGCGCATTTTTTTTCCGATTTTTAACAGCATTTTTGTTAGTTTAGTGTTATCATTTCTCCTCCGAGGGCTTGGTAGTGAAGGCGTAAAGACATTTTGGCAGCCATTTTTGCAATCAACTTCTCTGAAGTCGTCGCTTTAATAACAAAATGATGCCCTTTCAACCCAAGTTAGAACTGAAAACTCGTGATTGTTTCAACATTTGTTGCAAGTTTAACCCATTCCCAGCATAGCTCAAAACAATCGAGTTAGGAATGGGTCAAGGTTATTTCTGAAGAAAAATGAAGACAGATTTGACTGAGCTTAGTGCAGTTTAGTTTCTTTTAGAAAATGCATCCAGATTGGGAAGTTGGCACAAGTTTTTCAAAGATTTATTCTGATTCAATACACGAAATTGAGTAATCATTTTGCTGCCCATGATCCAACTGAGAAATGAGCGAGGAGGCTGGTAGAGGAAATTATCAATTGACCGAATATATTCGCACGAAATTTGGTATAACTCCCTGTAACAACTTTTTTACAACCTGTAAGGTTATACGAAGTATACACGATGTTATATGCGTGTACTTTGTAAAGCATAGATAGGTCGGCATGAGCATATCAGTAGGGCGCACCCAATTGTGTACTCTTCCATGGTCCAGGTACCTTGACCTTTCATGTAGTGTAGGTCAAATTCGTTGAAATTGCCTGACTGTCAGCTTTTAAAACTAAAAAACTCCATATAGAATGTATAAAGTACGTGGGCAACATGTCCCCAAGAAACGGTGACGATGTATTCCGATCAAGGAGATACTCACGTTGTGAGCATGAGGATTTATGAACCACCAACCTTCCGGCTGGTTCGTTTACGCCTGCATCAACTGGGTAAGTCGTGGTGGGAGGTAAGCAAATGATTTTCACCCATACACCGTGAACTTATAGATGGGAAAAAGCTTAAAAGATCATCAATTTGTTCTTCACTTCACTCGTCGACCGGTTGAAAGAATGTCCTACTCTTATTCTTGTCGGAAGAGAGCTGAACTTACCCGTGAGAAGACCTTCAATCGCACGTTAGTTAGGATGGAAGGAAAGGAGGGAGGGGGGAATGGAAATGCTCCTCTTCATTTCTTTGATGATATTGCTCCACGCAATGAAGATTACGTTTTCTTATCAAGTGACCTGTCAAATAGTCAGCGGAAAGGTGGAAAATGGAAGTGAGATAAGAATAAAGAGGGATGGGGCATGCAAATAGTTTATTTGTCCTTTGAGACAAAACGTCTTACGAGACTGGAATTGGCAACTAGCTTGTGACTCTTGGGCAGAGAATTACCAATTTTAAGGGAATTTATTTTGACAAGAGGCTTTCTCCTTTTTCACCATCTATTTACCATAACAGAACCCCCTCCAGTTTATCTGATTATCTTACATAAATAACCTCCAAAATTAGTTATTGTTCAACGTTTTAAGTTTAGATCGTTTTCAACATCTCCGCTGAATACAAGATACCAATTTTGGTGCACTGCTTCGAAACGTATTTATCGTGAAGCGGAAAAAAGCCGTTTAACGTTTTATTTTGTTGTGGCTTAGTCTTGTTTTAGTGGTCGATTAAACTGTGCGGGCTCTTCAGTCCCCACAACTTGGATTTTCATCGCGAGGCATGGTCTTCCAGATGTGCCTATAGCGCCCGCTCCCAATCCTGCTCTTCCGTACACGTACAGCAGACCGTTGGCAGGCCTTATTGCAACCTCAAGGAAGGCTTGACAGCGGTTTTATTTTCTAACATCGAAGATGCTAAGTTGGAACTTAAAAGTCATTTCGCAGTTCAGGCTACAACACAAGTGGAACTTTTGGGTGGATCCAAAGCAAGCGCCCCTCCCGTGATTCATTAATGACCGGGAGGTTATTAAAGCGTTTAAAGTTCCAATGAGGATGCTAGAATCCAAAGTGGAAACCTATGAGCGAGAATGTTTACTTGCCATGGAGGGTCAACCAGGCTAATGAATGAATCATGCGGGGGACTTTTGTGGATAAAGTTCATGTCCCCTCATGAAGGTTTAAACTTCACCTCAGTATCCCCAACGTGGTTCGTGGTTTGGGCACTTTTAGAGGAGAAATCCACCAATTTGAAAGAGCAGCCTCCCTGACATCTGAAGTAAATTTGCCGATCTAAACAGGGGAAAAATTTTCCCCTTTGGTCTGCTTGTGCAATCACGAAAATTGTTCAGCTGACATCTTTCGATCATGGAAGCGAAGTAGCATAAAACTGTAAGCACTTACTTCCATAAGTGACGTTAGAAATGTCTATTCCAATTACGGGAGTTTTTCGGGGTAAATCGAAACTTTTGGACTCACGGAAGTAGTGGTGCAAAGTACAATTGCTCAAGCGTTCAAATAATATATGGAAAGATTCGTCCGGTTCCACTACAGGTTATTGCCTTGATGAGACGTTCCACGCCCTGGCTGAGTGTTCACAGGACTGACCACTGCGGTGGTAGACTGGGAACCGCTATGAACGAGATTGCCACTGGCGTACAGTCATCTTCAATAAGTTTGTCCCGTGGGCTTGAAATCTCTTGCCTATATCCGCAGATTTTATGCTTCGTTCAGTACCTCATGCTACTGCACTACCACCATTGCTGGCCATCCTAACTAAGGCAGTTTGCATTGGTCCACAGCATGTAAGCTGACCATCAGAGGGCAAAAAGCTTGCTTTCTACTTACTATCGCGTTTAGCATCCCACGATGGTGTCCCTTTTTATTCGTGTAAACTTCGAAATCACAGTTTAACTAGAACGGTTCTCCGCCATCGACTCATGGTTTTAAATATTCACCTTCGGTACTTAGTTCTGCGTTATTTTCTATCTTCGTAGTGGACCTGGTTGCTGGATGTCCATGGGAATCTCCACTCATCTTCGAAAGCTTCAATCCATTCATGGGCAACCCGAACGCCAAAAGCGGACGACGAAAGTGCATATAATTCATTTCCTAACTATCTTTACCTCAATGTTACACAACTGCAAAAGCAAGCACTCTAATGAACCGGACCAACTATGGCAATGCTTAATCTTCCATCGTCTGTCATCACAGTAGTAGTCATAGGGAAGCTTTTCTATAAGCCCCGTGGGATTTGGGACCTTTTTGACCACAAGCTCAGTCATTTCTCGGATCGAAACGAGGAAGGTGTTCGAGAGCCAATTGCCTGTAAAAAGATCCTATAACACTTAGAGATGAACCCTAAAATACCTCAACTTTCTGTTCCTTATTGTCCATTTGACACGACATCAGCTCACTTTTGGACAAACCGAAACCGCATGAACACGCATTGTTCGAGTAATTTGAAATGTAACAGATCACAGCCTCTCGATCCTTCTCGGCCAGCTTCCAATCCTTGTCAATTTGTTTCAAGTGGACAAGTAATTACGTCAAACGGTTCTTCAACCACTAATCCTTGCGCAGCTTGAAATGGAGGTATAATGTAACAATTTTTTCAAGTGATTTTAGTTTTCCATTCACCATGTTATATACGTTAACAACCCACAAAATTCTATTAATTATATCAAGAAATTGCTCTCGAGACAGATGGGGCTCAGGCGCCACACTGGTAGCAGTAGTAAACGAACGTGGTCCGACTGAACAAGAAAATCTAGCTTCTTTGGCTGGATGCCAAAATCAAATGCCAACCTTAGATGACGAAATTGAACAATTTGAAAAACACAAAAAGCAGTCGTTGTAAAGAATTGTTCATCCTTGATCACTCGCGATGCGATTCGCGTAGAGGAATCAGCTCTGGATCCAACAAAATATTTAATTGACGTGAGGGGCAAATGTGTGGGAAAGCAGCGTATGGTCTTTGCTCCTGACACCTGAATACTTTGCAAACTGCCAATCCAGAAATAGTGACCCCAGGGAGCACCGAGGACGATGCCTTGTTTTAATCATCAATTTAACTACACTGACTCTCTAATCACCAGTGGTTTCAATTCCCCTTTCGATGGTGTTGTATTCCTTTGCGTTTTGCCGCTCATATCATTTCTGTCAACAGACCACCATAGTGTGCTGCAGGTGTATCCTTTTATCATCAAAAGACGCATTAAAAAAGTATTCAACCTTAATACTACTAAATTTCTTACCATAGTTCATAGAGAGGGACGGTTTTAAGCAATATTTATTTGTAAGGAATTTCGGGCTGTCTCATTGAAGGGCAAACTTGACATTTGTTGATGACTGACTGGTACCTTAAAGCACTTCACCTGTTAAAAATTTACCTCCCTTCCTAACGACACACAGGCTTCTCAGCCCCACTCACATAAAACATTTCTTCTCTAAAGGCAGGCAACTTGGCCTTTACCCTTTGTGTGTATCTATCTCGCGTTCATTGTTTTTGTCTGTTTGTTGCACTCCGCATGTGATCATGTGAAGTTGGAGACGGTGAGGCTTTCTGGGACTGAAGCAATGGGTGTGTCAGATGCACGAGGTAGATGGCTTGGAGAGGATTAATGTCATGATCGTTGGCGCAGCCAACGCTGAAATGCGAAAGCCACTTCTCATCCCAAGTCAGTCAGCTAACAGTCCTTTTCAAATAGCGGAGAGTGAAGAGCAAATCGAGTCTTTTAGGCTTACTGCATGGTATCTGGCGCTCATTTGCTGGACCTTCTGCCACGACTTCCCAAACAAACTGTTTTGTCACTCAAGTTAGGCATCAATGAAGCTTCGAACGAGGTTAATCAATGGTGACACGTAACCCCTTGTTTCGATTAAGAATAAAGGATCTCGATGGATGTGACGCTGAGCCACAGTTTTCGAATTACTTCTGGTTGGTAGGTTATGCTCCTGCACCTTCTACAAATGCTGCACAAAGTGAATGAGAAGTTACCGCTGCTCTGAAATCGTGTTCGCCTCGATTTGTAAAGCAAACACACTGGACTTGTATCATGCCGTGTGGGTTCGGAATGAGAGGAAGGTGGTACAGAATCGCCTTTTTGATCATATGATGGGTTTCCCACTTAAAAACTCCAATGATAAGTAGTGGACAGAAGTAGAGGCAGTGGGTTCACCTCTTTCTGGTGGGGGCAAATCAGGCTTGCCTATGATGCGGTAGGGAATGTTAGCTCAGGTACATCTAGCATTCAGTGCTGGTAGAAAAGATAGGTGACGCAAAATTTAAAGCCGTAAAATTCCACCATGCAGCTCTCATTGTTAAGTCTGATATGATAAAAGAGTTAAGAATATTAAATAAAAAGTCTATTTGACGGTCAGTGGAGTTTGATGAGCATATGTGGGACCGTTACAAGCCTACAGAGGGCTACTTTTACGGAGAGAAAATAAATGGGGCTTAGATCTACCCAAGTTTACATAATTATTTTTGGCGTGATCTTTGATTACAAGGTTTTCTATCAAAATATTTTGAAGGATAAATCAGGGAGAAATTAGAATAATGCATTGTGACAGGCAGCTCCATCCCCAATCACACTGCGCAAGTATTAATTTAATGTCGCCTTAATTCATCGTCTCCTCACATGAGATGCATGGGGTAGTATGTGACAAACAAACACTCGCTGTCTAACACAGGTCTGTTTGTGGAGGGGCGATCTAGATGGGTGAACCGCTCACGCGGCGATGTGCATGCACAAACGTGTATGATGTGCTCACCTTGGTGATGAGTTTGGGTGCTGGCTTGCCAGGAATGAGAGCGCTGGTGATGATAATATCCACTTCCTTGGCTTGCTTTGCAAAAAGTGCCATTTCTGCGTCGAGGAACTCCTTTGACATCTCCTTTGCGTAGCCACCACCACCTTCTCCCGCCTCCTGCCGGGTGGATGGGGAAGGAGGAAAAGGAGATTAAATCGTGAGGATAAGTGCTTGAATAAATATACATTTAAGTAAGCTGGCTCTTCAGTCAGTGCGGGCTTCGGCCTCCGCATTTGGGTGTCGAGAGGTTCCGTTCACGTTATTTCTGCTAACTGCTCGAAGACACTGGTGTCATAAAGTTTCATCCTTATAACATCCCTAAAAAGAACTCGGACGCCGTGGGTTGAAGCGAGCGAAAATCCTGGTTTTCCTATCTGGAAGACTTTTCTTGTCACAGAAAAGATACGCACTATGAATAGCTGAATCCGCAGAGACTCCGGACTATGGTAACTAACATCTCGAGCTAACCCAAACTTGGGAAACACCCATTGTGGGGCTGCCAACATCATCTGTATGAGGGTAAGCGAAGAGATAATGTCGCCCCCACATTGCCCATCACCTGAATAGGGGGCAGAGGAATGGTGAGAGAAAAGTGTCAGGACAAAGTGGATGCTGAATACCGTTTCTATAGGGCTACTTTAAACCAGGCTCTGGTAAGGGGTCCCACTGTTAGGCAACTATTCCTGCGAATCACGAGTAGGATAAAAATGCATTTGTTTTAGACTACCAGCACGTCTTGAGCAGGAAAAAACCCAGATATAGAGGCGATACACTACTGACGCTGGAATCAAACGACTTCTCATCTTGGTGGCCAGGTGAGGTGTAACACTCGTTCATAACGCGACTACGCTGCAGTCGCCAACGGGACGGAAGGGTGACCATACCGTGCGCAGAGGACAACGTTCAAATGAGGAATGAGATCATTGAAGAGAACAACGCTTCTTTAAGTTACCTGTTCCATTACTCGAATTTTAAAGTCTTCACAAGTTTCAGTAACCATCTTGATTTTTCGGAGCTATATCTAGGTACCTTAGGTTAACAGATCACAAGTACTGATGTGCATTTATAGCAGAATTCCATGTACGCTTAAGCATTTTGTATCTCCTGTAGAACTTGGACACTGTAGGGAGTAGAAGAGGAGGGATGCTCTACAAAGGCTTACCTTGAATTGAATGGTGAGGAATTCAGCACCTAAGGACTCCACTTGTTCGCGGACTGCTTCGCGAGTGTCGAAAGCGCGCACCGTCGCACCAAGACCCCGCGCCGTCGCCACAGCGGACAGACCGGCCACACCACCCCCAACTACCAGGACTTTGGCGGGAGGAATACGGCCAGCGGCAGTTATTTGTCCTAAGTATTGGAGAAGAGGGATGGCTAAGTGTAAATCAATTCCCAAAGCCTATATAGTTGGACCGTAATCAAAGTTCTTCATTGTTGATATTTTATGGCCTCAGCAACGAATTTAGGATATGTTGGCTTTACCTGGGTTAACTTAAAGACACTTGCACAAATCCGGCTCGAGCACAACTTATTTTTTGTCCATATTATCAGGCCAAAAGAGTCACAGCTCTTCCATTGTGGCTCGAATTTTGGGTAGGTAGCTTTCTATAAAAAAGAACTCTTATCATGAAATCAGAGTCCTTGAAAATCGACATCTCAGTAAGAAGAACCTTTTTCCAAATTCGATGCTTCCCGTCGGCGATATCGAAATAAGCATGTTCACATTACAAATCAACTAAGTTTTCATTTAACAAAAATAGTAGTTTTGAGAGTGCAGAGCAGTCAAAAAAGAAGTTCTTCAATCAAAAGGCCGGAAGCATAACACTACTTCATGCTTTTACCCAATAAATAAAGTGCATTGCAATTCAGTGTTCCTTCGGTACATTAGAATTGAAAAAACTATGGAAAAGATTACTCCTCAAATAGATGTTAATTTGCAATCACATGACATCTGAAACCGAAACATAGGGACTACGCTTTAAATTGAGTGCCTATGTGATAGAAAAATAGGACAAATAAAAGCTATGGACAACATTCAATCGCATATTTACCAGCAAAAAAATTGCTGTAATGCGAGGCAGCTTCAATAACTGCCTTATAACCAGCGATATTTGCCATACTGGAAAGTACATCGAAGGCCTGAGCTCGGCTAATACGTGGAATACAATCCAGTGCCAGTAAAGTGATCTTTCGCTCCGCAAGTTTATCAACAAGTTCCTATGTAGGGGGGAAGGAAAAAAGGTAAATATAACGAAGAGAGAGTTGTAAAACAGATAAAAAGTACCTTATTTTGCGCCGGATAAACCATGGAAATAAGAGTACTGTTCGTGTTGAGCAAGTTCACTTCTTTGTCAATCAGAGGGGAACGAACTTTTAGAACCACATCGCTTTGTGCGTAGAGGTCTTTTGCACCACTTTCAATTAGCTTTGCACCGGCTTTCACGTAATCTGAGTCAGGATATTGTGCTGATACTCCTGCTCCGGCTTGGACAATCAGGCTAAAGCCTTTGCCTGTTAGGGTTTTTACAGCCTTTCAAAATTATTAGGTGTGTAGGATAAGTAAAGGTATGCAACGTACATTAGGAGTGAGAGAAACCCTTTTTTCATTAGGGAACATCTCCTTTGGTACACCAATGCGAAGACCTTCACTTCTAGTTTTGCTAAAAGTTGCGGTAGCAGTTGTTGCAGCGAAGCGAACACAGGATGTTTTTAAGAAACCCCGGAAACAACGATTCACGCAATAAGCTCCCTGACGAAGAAGAATAGCCTCCATCGTATACTGCCTGAGTAAAAAGTCTGGATTGCGGAGAGAGTAGGAAAAATGACTAAATTATTGAAGCGAAAAGGGCAGACGGGATGGCTCGATTTACCGCCTCGCCATTAACCTTGAAGTGTAGTTTAAATAGCACTAATACAAAATGATTTAAAGTACTTTTCATTTTAGTTAAAAATTTTACATATAATGTCGCAAAAGTTTTAAACCGATTCAATAACAAAAGCGCATTGGCCATGTAAAGGATCTGCTTCAAGTACGAAATAACCAGGTTTGTCAAATTTCCCCTCATGCTAAATTAAGTCATCACCCTTATACTTTTCGTTTCTCATTTATTTTGGTAGCTAAATATCCTATATATGGCATTTTACACGCCTAGTTAATTGTCTAAGCAGAATCAATCCATTACCAGACACAACCAGGACAATCGTCACTATTTCAGTTTGAAAATAGGCAACAATACGCCTTAATTTGTTACATTTTTAAAACGGCTTCGAGGCAGCCTTGAAAGCCGTAAGAGGCAGTAGTAATGGCTTTGGGTCACATTACAGGGCGAAAATATAGTCTCTGAGGCTTGAAGCCTCCACCCATGTTTTTCGCAGCGCCGTAAAATAGCAGAATTACTAAGACTTATGGACAGTTCTCCCTTTAGTGAGTATCTGTGCAAACCGTTAGCTCTGACAGTTCTATCCAGTCCATAAGACTATGCACACTACATTCTTTCTGTATCTATAGCGGCGGTATCAGATTACTTACGTAAACCTTGGTCACTACTGTAGCGTTCCGGGACTCCCTGAAGACGAAAGAAGACAAAATACTCGGGCAGAATATATATTCAGCGCAGAGAAGGTGTCTGGGCTATTGGCATGGCTCAAAAGGCCAGCCCACCCAGCGAGGTACAAGGGGGCTAATTCAAAGTACAAAAGTGGCGCCTCACTAGTGCCGAGGGATAAACCTTTATCGTATTACGATACTTTCAACTTTTAAGGTAAACTGTGTGCGGCATATCCACTTCAAACTCCATTTCCATTCATATAGATCTGTACCGTCAATTGCTTGATGATAGTAAGATATATGGATTGTTTTTCGCATAACCTTATCAAAGTGGAAAGTTGTCACGCATTCAAAAATTGCATCTGAGGCTTAGATTATGAACTTCGACACAAGGTTTGAAAAGCTACCACCCAAGGCTAGATTTGTGAATATAGAAGTGTATCTGAGCAAAAAATACTGCTTTTTAAATCTGTAATTTCTCATGGTTGCGTGGGTATCCCACAACACCGAGTGAATACTATTTTATAATCGTTAAAAAATGGTCAAGAGACATTTCGTTTTTTGCCTTCTTGACTTTTTGATCTTGATTAATAACGCGAATTGTAAACAACTACAAGAACCATAAAGGTGGTTTTATGCCAGCAATTATCGTAATTACATTAGGGAGTATGTAGCAAGTGTGTCCTCCCTAGCGATGGGTGTTTAGATAGAGAGGTAGGGGAAATCGAAAGTGACACAAAGATGATGGCGGAATAGGTGAAGGTGTAGCTCCCCGAAACTGCTCTGGAAGCAAAAGAAGGCGTAATACTTGGGCATACAATGGCGAAGCCCTAAGTGACCTGTCATTAAAGCAGACGGTTAAGCAAGCGGTCAGCGCATTCCAAAAGTACATGCAAACTGAGTATAGATGTAGATGTAAATGCATGGGTGAACGGACGTTTTCTAATGGATTTGCTAATTACGCGGATTGTACTTTCACTAGGTAGCATGGTCGTCGGACATGCAAGTAGCCTTCTGCTCTTCCACCACACCAGCATAGTTTGCAACGACTTGAGGGAGGACTCGGGGTGCAACACTATGCAAAGATGAAAGTGGGGAGGATTAAAATATGAAATTAATCTGAAGCTCTTAACCCGTATGAATACTCGGGCCAGAAGTCTTGTTTTTCTCCTCTTTTCATATTTGTGAAGATGTTGCAAGTATCTTGATATTAAACTCGAGAACGTTGTTTTTGCCGCAATTTCTAAGAGGAGGCAAAGTAAACGCCTAAATAAGATGCGATATTTGTATTCATCTTCCCAAAAAAGCTCCTCTTCTGTAACCAAG